ATGACATACCACATCCTTGGATACCAGGTGTGATACCAGGTTTCGGTTTCATCTTTTGATGTTTTATGGATATGTATCCAGGCAAGCATGCGCAAATAGGTGTCCTTGAAGAGGTGGTGAACACAAGTGTTCTAGGATGGTGGTTCAGCGAAACCACCATGAAGAACCTCGGTCGTGGAGATGAAAACCGCCGACACGGGGAATCGAACATTGCGTCTGCGGAGTTTCTGAGCCGTTTGCTTTGGTCAAGAATGAACGAATGCCCCTTTGACCTAAGTTGAATGCAACAGCGGGCCGTCTCATGGTGACATCATCAAAAATTTTATATATAAGTAGTGCATAAGCTCCAAATGTTCAGCTTTATATGTGCAGAAGGCATTTGGGTCGACTTATGGCCGAAGTAATGAACCAGTACGGCCAACTGACCAACGATTCCATTTCTTCCAGGCTCAGACCCCCATTTATTCCCAAAAAAGTAATATATTACGAAAAAAAACACTGCCCCCCGGGAGCACAACGAACGTAGTTCAAAGAAGGTTAAGAAGTCCGGGAAGGTGTGGGGGTTTAGGATCAAGATGCCGGTGGGTGCTGGGAAATCATTCCGAATCATTTGGCTTACTGTGATAAGAACTCCTACTGTGTTTGAGAGTGTGTCGGTCTGTATGCGCATATGTGCAGAGAGGTGAGGTGATGGTGGAAACTGGAGACAGACAGGGTTATATCCCCAGATCCTACACCTCGCTAGGGGTTGGGTACCTGAGGGCTGTCATGAATTCTCTGGAACCTTCCTAGCTGGCACCGCCAATTCCGTATCGTACTGAGAGTTATCTTGCGGCCCGTACACTTTAACCTATATATAAACGCACGTCTACGCGGTGCCGTACAGCTGGTTGACTCGCTTCCAGTCACCGCCATGCTCCATGCGGGCAGGTTATCACAGGAAACGGCAGGACCCAAAGAGTACGAATGTCGGGCGAATCGGCTGCGGCAGTGGATGCAGGCAGTGTCCTGACTGGTTGGTCCGTAGAGGCAGCGGCCTCCGGAACCAACCCCCGGGAGTTGTAGGGGGGGAGGGGAGGAGGGGAGGAGGAAGGACCCGTTCGCGCCATGCGATGGCGAATGGGCTGCAGTGGCGACCACAGGATGATGGAGAACTTCGGCCTCGTCCATGCCTTGACCTGATGGCGGCACAGCGCCTGATGTGCCAGCAGTGGCGACGCAGAAGAACTGAGGGCCTGAGGGAAGTGTAAAAAGACGTGCGTGCCGAGTGCGAGGTACTGTAGTGGGCGAGGCGGGTTTCATCCACACAAGAGGTTACCATGGTTGGCATTTGCGGAGTTTAAAAAAACGGTGTTAGGTTGTTACACTTGGCAATTTCACGAAAGATAGTATTGTGTTCACCCACTGGCAATTTGAAAATAGTGTACCTATCAAACATTTACACTTCAACTTAACTTAATTCCTTCTAATATCCTCCGTTCTATGCCTCAAATACATATTCAACATCACTGCAGCGAAATAAGTGATCTAGTCGACCCAAACTTCATGCTTCAAAACGAATCACGGTATGTCACCAATAAAGAAATGTGTATTGTAATGTAATGCAATGTGCCAACGGCTACTGCTCAGAAGTACGGCGCCTACGGCTACCGCTAAGAAGTACGACGCCTACGGCTACCGCTCAGAAGTACAGTGCCAACGGATCCACCACTTTTAAACCATCCCGGAGACTCTGAGGACATGGTTACTTCCGATTCACAAATAGCAACCATGCACTGAACCATGGGTCATAGGATCAACTTCTTACCCTTTTTCTCCAGCTTTTTTACGAGTTTGAACAACCTAACCCTTTGAAGAACTACTTCCATAAAAACCTCAGCTCATACTGGAGGCACAATGAGACACTGGCCCCCTTCTCCCGCCCCCGTCGGACTGACCTCCCCTGTTAGTTTAGGGTTTGGGCAGACAGCACACGGCACAATGTGCAAGGCGGGCGTAAATAACTTTCGCTATACAGACTTGGCGCGCCGTTGCGAATACCTTATCTGTCTCACAGCACGACAGCCTTAACATCGCAATCCACACAAAAATACGGAACTAAACAGAAGCTGTGATGAAGCTTCGTATGGGAATCGCCACCGTCGTTCGGCCGCGCCAACACATAAAATCTCCCCTAATTCGCCACCATTCTAAAAAAAACTGCCAAACATAGCACACATACATCCAATAAACTCTTCCACCGCGTGGGCCATGACATCGTCTGACGGTTTCCATTAATAAAAACGAATAACAATGGCCCTCTCATTTTCCTCTGCAAAAGCCACACATCTTGTGTGCAAAATTGTGGGGCGTACAGAGGCGGTGCGCCGGCTCGCAAATGGATGGAACGGTGGAGACACACACACCAGGTCGGCGTATGCCAATCGGATAAGGCTGCCGTTCACATTGTACACGCAAACCATGCGCCGTACTTGGCGCGTACAGCTACTCACTTTTACTACTACCTACTGCACGGAGGAGAAACTTATAATGATCCAATAACCTTAGGGTATGACAGTACCATACGCGCATGGCGCCTACCGCGTAGCTTCTCAGGGGGTCACCATTCACCGAAACCCCGCCGTACCTTGCTGTACAGCCGTACGGCAATGGCCAGGAATAGGCATGGCACTTAACACAAAAGGCATCACCAGCATACCGCAGGAACACCCTCGCATCACCCTGTAACCCACTTCCACAACCTCCACTGGGCCGAGAGAGGAGACCTTCCAGAGCTGAGGGAAACCAATCCAACCCAATCCAGCTAATCTTCACGCCGGCTTCCCACCCCTTTGCATGTGACATGGCGCACGCTTTGCGTGTGTGCCTCCGGTCTCTCGCCGGTCGCCCCGTTCCCCTAGGGCCCATGTTTAGCCCCGTGTCCGCGTATCTCATACCGCATACCACATATCGTATACCAATATATCTGCTTCCCCAACCCACACAAAATAATCCCCAACCCACTAATGACGTGCGTACGTATATGACAAACGATGCGTTAAATTGGGCACCGAAACACATCCTGCACCACCTTGCGGGCGCGGCGCGGAGTCGATGCAGTCATACGAGCGATATAACAACCTCGCTTGATTCGATTGCTGATGACAACATACAACACTAGGATATCAACACCATCACCGTCACCACAAGCAGCATCAGCCCTGCGCTTGCAATGGCAATGGACGGAGATGACTAAACGGCTAATGGGCTTAGCCGTCCACACCGCCGCCGCATTCCGTAGATGTAGGAAATCATACTACGGCTCACCCCCCCTGTAGCTGTAGCGTTGACAGTTGTCAGTTAACCCGGCATGCAGGCACAATTCAGGGTTCGCCAAGTGGAGCTCTACTTTATGCCCTGTACGGCAACAATGGCAATCCCTCCTCCCGTACAACGTCTTTGCAACCGACCGGCTGCTGCGCTGCCCGCAGAGGCAATTGAAGCACCGGCAGCGGCGTTGCCGACGTGCACACCCCGCCCGGTAGCATGTACGTACCGCCGCCGTACTGCATTTGCGCCGGCAGCGGCGTTGCCTCCCCTGCTGTTGGACAGACATATGGGGCTGAAGACATGGGAGACATGATGTACGGCGATGCCAGGGACGCTGTACGAGATGATAAAGCACGCGACGAAGAGGACTCAAAAGACCTGCGGACAGACGCAGTCGGACCCATCATGCTGCAGCAGTAGCTGCTGTCGCTGCTGCTACTGCGACTCAATCCACCACCATTGGCGCCATGAGCTACGGTGTTTACAGCAGGCACAGCAGGTGCAGCGGAGGTTGCGGCGGTGGCTGTAGCGGTGACGCCGCCGGAGACGGTAGGAGTCAGTGCGGGCGTGGGCGCGGGGGTGGGCGCCTGAAGACTGGCGACATGGAATACCGAGCTTGGGTTATTGAATCGGACTGCGGTGGTAGCTACCGCAGCTGCCGCCGCCACGGGAGCAGCATAGCTAGGGCCGTTAGATGGATGGTGATCGTTTAAACGGTGGTTCATCCAGCTTGCGGTAGTTGGGACGGTTGTCAGATTCAGCTCACACGTGCCCACATGGCTAGCGGAAGAACGCCAGGCGGTGCCGTGAAAAGGCGCCGCGAAGACGCCATGTCCGATACTGGACCAGGCTCGGGGGCTGGAGGGCGCGGTGCGGTACCGGTCGGCTAGCTCATCGTTAAGCGTGAAGCTGGGTGGGGCGGCAGCGGCTTCAGCAGTGGCGACAGAATCGCCAATGCCGCTGTTCGCCGGGGGATGGCGGCGGCGGCGCGGTGGCAGGCGGCGTAGCACACCATGACATGCTGTGACGGCGCGGACAGCTCGACGAAAGCTTGAGCGAAGGCCCTGGGCTGTGTTGCCCGGTAGCGCCCTGACCAGCCCGCACATGCCGCAGCCGGAGATGACCGCCACCTCGCAGGGCCTGTCCACGGATTTGAGAGTTGGAAATGTTAAGTTAATGGGGAGGAGTTAATCAGATAGGCTTAGCGGAATATGATATTACACAATCATGCGATATCTCGCCGGACATGATTTCGGTTTGGTTCCAACAATTTACAATATCTTTTGTTTGGAGCGTCAGCATCAGCACCAGCACCGAGTGCAACCCAGCCCAGCAAGACACCCAACCTACGCAGGCACCTGCATTCAAGGTGACCACACCCAAGCCGCAATAATTTAATATTAAGCTCTGTCATCCAGACTGAACGCGGTGAACGCGTTGGCTACATGTCGATCTTACGAAAATGAAATGCAGTCGTTGTGCCCGTGCAGGATAGATACGACGAAAGATCAGGGCGATGCCACGCGGTGGAAAGAAAAATTCAATAGTGGGTCCAGTATCTACTACTACCACATACCGCATGAAGTTTTAAAACAAAGGAACTCTGCTGCAACTCCACCCCAAACTGAATCATTTAAGATAGATGCAAGGCGTTATGTCCAAAACTCTTTAATTAGGGCGAAAAGTAAAATTATTTTGAGTAGATATAAGAGCAATTTGGACGGACTAGCATAGGAGGCGAGTTTGTCCGGGATTAGGAAGGCCGGGGCCCCAGGACGGATCGACAACGTATCGAGAAATGTTCGCGTCGCGAGATCACGACAATTACCCAAATCCAGTGACGCCGGTCTCACCTTGCCTCATTGTAATCGTCCCTCCAGGGAACTTGCCTCTCGGTGGCTTCAACCTGCAGCCTGCATCCCCAGTGGAATCATTGAAAATCGATGCGCGTAGGTTTGTCACATCACCATTATGATATGATTATGTGCTAAAGATGCGAGGAATAACGATAAGTTCCAGATGACACATTTTCATGGGGTTGTCTGTTCATGCGTTGCTCTTGTACGCGCCGCCATGCGCAAATCCCCGCATCAGAACTGCGTCGCATCGCTCTAAAAAAGTAGAAAACATTCCTTGCACACAAATTGTAACAAAACTGATATCATATCTTGTCTCCCGGAGGAAGCTGGCCAATATTTCCCACAGGCCTAGGACACAGGACAGTCTGTCTGCCTATGCCTCGGTCCCAGCGCGGTCACCTACCGATCAACCGCGGGCCCCTGCTGCTCCAGCACTTTTGTCTTAGGCCTCAGTGGTCTGCCAAATGGATGTGGATCGTTCCAGGGCCGGCCACAGTCGTCCTCCATGAATACACAGTGTTTCTTTGAGGGTACTTTGTCAGCAAGAAATGATTAAGTTAGTATACGATGCAAATTTTCAACTTGTAACAGGAGAAATGAGCTACTATATCTTTATACATGTCTGCATCGGTTTGCTGTACTCAAGATCCCGCTCGGCAGGACCAAGAAAACGAAACCGCCTGACAAATCCAATACAGACTGTGCTGATTGGACCGATGATTGACACCTGACTATCAAATCAGGCTTTGGTAATTGCATATACTATGATTTATATTTCTATATACATATGGCAGAGAAGAAGTGCATGTCTTTGTAGGAGCCTACACTCGAGGCAATGTGAAACGTATCAGGTGTCCGACCTGCATAGGCCTGCTGGCCAATCACATAACGGTTAACGATATAGGTATTTCTACATAATGCGCACTAGCTTCCCTTCCGATATCGTTGGACAGATCCTTAGGATCGCATCACACAATGGCGCCAATGTCGCGTCCGCAACACTACAACGCCCATCCACGTTGAGGAGGCCCCCAATTGCGGTTGCGCGTGCACTTTCTCTTTTGATAAATCTGCAAGTTCTCGCATGGAAGTATGTGAGTATAAGGAATTGGCGCTTCCCACCTAGAAAATTTCGCAAAACTACCATTGAAAGGAAACGACAAGCTGCGAGTCCCTCGCGGAGGGCCGTCGCGGTTCATTCGCAAAAAGGGTAGCGCGAAAAGTCATGGGAGAGGATGAAATGCAACTTTTTAGGCATGCCGCGATGCATCGTTATCCTAAGACGGATTATAATGTAATGTAATGTAATGTTACAGAGTGGGAGGCTTCTGGGCCGCTTTATCACATTGTCAGTTCTAGATCATTTATCACCTTATAGCACCATCCACCACTACCACACTGTACTTCGCCATACGAACTGTAAGTCCAAGGCGGCGGATCCAGCCTTCAGGGACCCCTCCTCATCCATTCACCCGAACACCCGAAGAGACGGAGGGTTCGGCAATCGCTACCAATCCAGCGTGCGAATCTGGTCCATCAACTGTGACCTCAATTCCACATCTCAGCAGCTAGCCATAATCTCGCACTCCCGACTAATTTGGGGGTCTCCCCAGGAATCGAACCCAGGACCTTAAACCGCTAATTGCAGTAGTGTCAACCCAGACCAGACGGATTATGGCGGAAGCTGCAGCAGGGTTACTGGACACTATAGTGTAGCTATAGTGGCAGCTTAACCATGGCGTTGAGCATTGAGCAGACTAGTCGTTTAGCATTCACATACACACACGCACATGGTAACGATAGGCAAACATTTAAAAGTTGGTGTAATGGGAACGCACATAATTCGCGGCTCGGTCCATTAAAGCACAGATCGGAGAAGAGCAGCGTATGAATGGCCGGAAGGCCACCTTGATTGGGACCGACCAGTTGAACGGAAAGGAAGCGTGTGGTCGCCTTCATATTTGCCTCGTCCTCCCATAGAACCTCCGGATTTCACAACCCTGTCGTCCCCCCCTCCAAGAGGGCTCCCTAAGAATCTGCTCGGCAGGCAGCGGATGGCACACGCCTTGGCAGCAAGGCCGTGCTCGAATTTCTGCGGCTTGTCCCCTGCTTACCTTACACACAGTAGTTACATCACTGCAGGAAGGACAATTGCGTCACATAGGTGGCGACAAGGAGATTGATACGATATTTAAGCAGACATTGTTACAGGATTTAGTTTTTGTTACCGTCCCGTTTATCAATTTCCCTTTTCACACCGCGCAGAGGCCCCAGTGCGGCAGCTGTGCTGGCAGCAACAGGCAGCACCGCTGTTGGTGTGTATTGCCGTACCTAGTGTTATCAGGGATATTGACAGCAAAAACATCAAAGGAATTCTCGAGGGCGATTACAACACGACAACACTGCCGCAACTCTGTTCCTTCTCGCCAGCTCTACCAGGTTTACCGTCTGTTATGGCTGTTCGGGGAGTTTGGTCAACGGTGCGTCAACAGTGCGCCGTCAACGGTGCGCTTGCCCCTTGTGCTTCAGTTTACAATACTATCCATGCGCATCGTTGCAAAAAAGGAACGTGTACCAATGAAATCTAGTAAGCATACGCTTCTTACACCTCTGTCGAGTTTGGCTAGGTAGCTTCATCTTTATGCGCCTTGCGTGCCGAGTGGCTATGATTATTTCCTATACTTTAGGAGCATATCTGATATCTTCCCTCCTGATAACGTTCGACCAGCAACTGGAGAGACGATTGCCCTGCGTGGAGCCTGACAACTCGGCTCTCCCTATGTTCCTCACCCCCGCCCTCCCTTGTGATAAGATTGCTCGCTGTCTATCTTCGCTGAATGACCTGCAGAGACGAGCCGCTGCCTCAACTACAACGCAGTTCTGACCACCTCTGAAGTAAGAAGGGTACGCATCTACAACAGATGGCTTAAAAGGTTTGCTGGCTGTGCTTCGTAGGAGTGAAAGTAGATCAGTTACCTCTAGCCCCTCCATGAGCGCCCTGGGTTAAGGCTACGGAGACGTTCCTGCTTCTAGTGCCCTAGGGTGGTCCAGCTAGCTAGCTAGCTTGCATTAAAGCTGATGGATAGGGTGCCGTTATCTCTTCACGTGAATCATTTCAGGCATTGATCTGTGTTGCTGCATATAATCCTGCCTCTGGTGGGTGCAACAGTGGCATGCACTGCCGCTAGGGCTTGAGATGCTGTGAGAAGCAGATGCTGCAACTGTGGAAGCTGGAGTTGCCATCATGCATGGAAACCGGGGCCTCCTTACGATATGGGCTTCGAGAAGACTGCCGTTTGCAACGAGGCATGGAGGGACCATGATAAGTGTGGTATGTGAAGCAGGAAAGGCCACCCCAGCAAACATCAACGAGGATGCGTTGATGTCCATCAGTCCGATCAGTTACGAAAGTGGGGATGGTGGGGTCGGTGATGCAGCAGTGGAAAGTGATGGTGACAGGAAAGGTCTACCCAAGGAGGTGATGGTGATAGGGTGCTCGAAGCAACTAGGGGCAGGATTCAGGGTTCAGGGGGGCATCCGTGGTGGCTTACGACATAGGACGCGGAAATAGCACAGGTGGCCCGGGGGTTGTGAGGAAAGGTGCAGCAGCATTGCAGGACGGCATGGTTGAGCGGGTGACATCCAGGTGATCGGGGTTGATGGGTAGAGCAGGATATGGTGAGTAAATGCTTATGGCATTATAAGCACTTCGCTGTCTAAATGATGGACTTCGTATCTGCTGTTACAAGTGCCGTGGAACCTCTTCCTCTAATCCTTTGGGCATCTTTGGGCATTTGTACGAAGAGACGCTCAAATATGATCTATAATGGGGCGGCTCCAAAGGTTTTTATGAAGTAGGGATGAAGTATTCCGCCCGTGAGTCGTATGAAGGGCTTCTTCCAAACGTCTGCTTCCTGCCATTCCTGCTCTAACCTCGGACGCGACAGCTGTAGTAAGCCCACGTACGTTATCGTTGAGGGTTCCGTGGTTTGCAGTCCGTACAAGTTTGCATAGATTGAACACGTTAGCCTGTCTCATACGCCGATGGCGGCGCGTGTCCACGGTAACCCCTTGTTTTTCGTCAAGCGAGCTATGGAATTGCGATTCAACAGACTACCGTTTCAACATGGCGTACATGTTTACTTCAGCAGTTGCCTTCGCATATTTCATTTAGTCAGTGGTCAAGAATTTAGGTCTGCGATTACTATGAATAGACACGTGCCACGTGCAGCACTAAAAGAGAACGCATCGCGACAACTGTACAGCAGCGCACTTCAGGCATTCCGAAGCGGCATATATGCGTATTTGATGATGTAATTACATAACTGTTAGGCAACAGGCTTATCCCAAGCAAGACAAGTAATTTAGTCAGGGAAATGACAGAAGCAGAGAGAACTACATCCCAGCATTCATTCAGTTTCTGAAGTATTCAACAGTGTTTCTTATTAAACACAAGCATTAAAAGCCTTCCAGCGGTTGGCTTCCATACGTAGTGCTCTTATATTGTATTGCTCATCCTGCCGGGCCACCCGACACACTAAGGACGTGTTCACATGTGGGCGAATCAGGGTTGATTCATGCGAATTGGACTCTGAATTGGACCTGATTGGACCCGAATCGGAATTGGGGTCCGGGGGGGCCTCTTCGGGTATGATTCGACGTGATTCACAGTTTTCTTTCTCAAAACAAAGTTGTTTAACAAACCGTTTCTCATAATTACCATTACAATACTATAGGAACATTTTCCAATTGTTAATTCACGCAAAGCGCACCGAGCATTTTTCACGAACTCCTGCAGCTATGTATGTACAAGCCTGGTGATAATTTTCGCCATAGAAACGATACTTATACTGTTCTGTTCCTAGATAATGCTGGCTTGCCTTGGGTGATGGGGCGTAGCCGCGGAGCTTCAGCTGGGCGCGGTGGCACCTCGCGAATCGTATGTGAACACAATTCAGAAAGCCGCCCCGAATCGGACTCCCAATCAGACTCTCAATTGGACTACATGTGAACACACCCTAACGAACTAACAAGGCCGTCACCTAGGTATACTTCGCTTCGCTACCTTATTTCGGATTTCTGTAACTGCGCCAATTGCAAATATTATTTACCCTTTTCTATAGCAGAACCGTTCACATTGCAAGCTCTGTTCAAGTAACAAAGCAATTAACTTCACATGACAATATATAGCAGCGTAAAGCACAACAATTGTACACATCCCTCCACGACATGCACACAGGTACGTTTGGTAGCCCACCACTTACAGAGCAATTCCATATTGCGCGCCAAGCGCCAAGGCTTGGTTGCCACTCTTTTGGAGTTCACATTTAATGTTAACGACACTTATATAGATTGGTCCCAAACTCAAAAGTTGACATGAGCGGTCGTGCCCGAGTGGTTAAGGGGTCTGACTCGAAATCAGATGGGATCTCCCGCATAGGTTCGAATCCTGTCGACCGCGGCTATTTTGTAAGCACATATTAAAGAGTTATGATCTTTCCAATGTGCGCGTTAAGACTTCTCATCTAACTCCTTAACCCACAACGTTTTATTTACTACCAGCGCCGGTGGCGGCCAGCGTTGTGGATTCGAAAATGCGATCCGCGTTGCCCACTTCAAAGCCATCACGCAAATGCTCTTCTCTGAGCTCCTCGTCCTGCAAAAAGATATCCAACCCATGGTCAGGAAAAGGAACGCTTGGAAACACAGAATCGCCTTATGACGACATCCTCTGCATCATCAGTCACTGCTTCCCTCATTCCGCATTTCATATCATGTATTAGCACAGCGTTCTGACCGCAGAGGCGGTCTAGGGCATGTGAAATTCTAACCCATTGCCGTCGGACGCCTCACCTTGAGATGCGCAAACCGGGGCAACCTCAACCGCTTTACGAACTCTGCACCGCGGGCAGGACAGGTCACAACACATAGAGCACAGACTTCGATGAATTGGGCAATGAGGCAATCAGGCCACGCAGCATAGGGGCCCTGTGTATGTGCGTGGGTGGAAGCCGCCATGGAAATATGTGACCAGGTATATTTCATAAACTGAGCAGGACAGCACCTTCCCAGCTCCAGGTACTGACTTCCTATTTCTTGACGCACGGCCCCATGTGAGGGGTTCCCTGGGCGTCATAAAAAACCTTGGCAGCAGCCTGTGCAGTGCAGTAATGTACAGCGGCAAATTTATGCATGTAGGTATGTATGTATGTATTCATGGCGCTATAAGAACCTGCGTCGGACCGCACAGTGACCCGAACCATGACACAATCACTGCCCGGGCCCCGGCCCCTGCCAGGGCTGTCTGTCCAGCCCTGTGCAGTACAGCTACAGCTGCCGTACAACGTACCCACGTATGCTGCCGCGATGTCCTGCTGCTGACCACACGAGAACTCGAACGGTCGTCGGTCCGCCACCACAGAGCACTGCAGCAGCAGCCCGTCGGGGCTCACCTGCGGCAGCAGCAACAGCAGCAGCAGGCGCAGTAGCAGTAGCAGTAGAAGTAGCAACAGTAGTAGCAGCAACCTCTCGCACGGCAGCGCTAGCAGCAGGCAAGTAGCAGTTGCCTCGGCAATACCAGTACCAGCTCTGTCGGCGTCGAAAGATATAGAATTAACCGTTGACTGCCCACCGGTGGCAAGCGGCACTTGCAAGAAAGAAACACCCACACATCCATACACACACACCGCACACACGTGCGCATCTTTTTAAAACGTTTATACACGTTTGCATATGCCTGTTATCCTCCTTGTTAGCTCAGTATCGTGTACATCATTAGCTCAGGGCGTTGTAAACCCATCCGTCCATCCATCCAAGTGCCATGCGGGTGCGTTCCGGCAGCAAGAGGCCCAAGACGCTGTTCCATACACAGCTACGCCCCCGTACGTCCCTTTCGCCCGCTCCTCCAACCCACCTTGACCAGGCCGCCCTCCGCATTCATGGCCATCCCAGCGCCACTCAGCTGCCTGACGAAGCCATCCATGTCCAGGGAGGGACCCACACCCGGTAACCGGTGCAGCGCAAGTGCCGTATGGTTAAGGCTGTAGCCGTGTGCAAGCACCCTGCATCAGGAGGAGCAGTAGCAGAGGTAACGGCGGCAGGAGGAAAAAATTGCAGCAGCAGCAGCAGCAGCAGCAGGAGCAGGATAATGAGAGAGTCGGTGTCACCACGAAGGGCTCCAGGGCTCACAGAACAGAACAGGGAAGCGCAAACCACCTGCAAAACCCAACTGAACCTACCAAGCTGCGTACTCCGACTCCTTCAGCAATAGCTCGTACTGCTCCAGGGTGGGTCGCGGCCAGGGTGCCGTACCAGTCAGCAGCGCCGTAAGGACCTGTCACCAGCAGGACGTGTTACCATCTCCCAGGCATGACGTAGGCCGATGTATGCGGTCGAGGAAACAAGCTCAGTTGGATGATCTTCATCATCCACATATCATCGTCGTCACGACAGAAAGGTCCAATGCCTCATGGTGGCAGTGATAAATGGTAGTCCACCCGTTTGCCCCAAGAAGTACCCCCCATGCCCTGTCTGATCTACTCGGTGCGCTCTCCTCCCCCATTAGGGTCGGGGTGGGACCCGTCGCTCACCTGCACCTGCACCGCCTCACCCGCCCCAGCCGCCCACCCCGTGGTCCCCAGGATGATTTCCCGCGCCGCGGGAGACAGCTTCTCCACCTGGGGGGTTGGGGTGGGAGACAGGGGCGAAGGGCGAAAGGGGCGGGGGGAATATGGAAGTGGATCCTGAAGTGATCGACCTGAACAATAGTGGCGAGCAGCAGCAGCAGGTCATCAGGACACAGTCAGCGGCACCAGGAGCAATACCACAACAACAGCCGTCGCAGCAACAGCAGCAGCCGCAGCACCGATCGGCCACAGCTTTGCACGCGAAACCCAACAGGAAGAAGCCACCGCAAACCCTACATTCGCTATCACGTCCCAAAACAACCCGGTGTTTACTCACCGACTACCTCCCACCGCAACCCCCCCCCCAATCCGCCTCCGTTCCCAGCCTTCCCCCTCCCCCTTCCGACCACACACCTGTATCTCACTGACAAAGACCCTGGGCAGCACCGCTCTGACCCGTGGGTCCTTCGCCATGAACCAAGTGGCCACCAGCTTCTTGGCCGGGAAGGTGAGCGGAGCCCCCGGGTCCTCCACCCGCTGGTAGCCCAGGGGAAGCAAGATGCGCTCCAGGGAGGATATGCCCAGCCCGGGAACCTGTGGGGGGAGGGAGGAGGGAGGGAGGGAGGGAGGGAGGAGATCCAGGCGCATGTCCAGGGGCTAGGGAGGGGGAATATTACGTGCGAAAATAATGGAAAGAAGGAAGGAAGGAAGGAAGCAACTGCCAGCGCCCCAAAAGTGGCTTCGGGGCGGTGTGAGGGGGAGACTGCGAAGCAGCCAGGGAGTTGTATGTTGCCTGGGAGGCGAGAGGTGCGTGGGGGGAGAGGGAGGTGCGTTAGGGGGGAAGAGCTCCTAGGGGGTGGGAACTGATGTTCTGGTTTGACAACGATGCGTGAGTGTGGAACCTGTGGAGTGTACGCCAGCGAGTTCAATAAGTGCCCGTACTCACCCCGAACGTCCTGAACGCGAAGTGGTCATGCCCCAGGGTCTCCCCTGGTGTGAGGCCCATGTAGCCGGGCCGCATCACCCCCTCCACCACAGTGTGCAGACCCGGGGTGCGCTCTGAAGTAGTTCAGAGATGGGGGGAAAAGAGGGGCGGTGGGGTGGGGCGGTGCCGTCCAGGGAGGCCGGTTCACCACTAATAGGGCCCGATGGGGACACGAAGGCAGGGGCGACAAAGTGATATCCCCTGCCACCAGGGTGAAGAGGGTGCTCGGCAGTGAGTGTGGCTGTCTTCTCGCTCAAGAGGGGGAGGACGGGCAGGCGGCCATCACCCTAACTGTTCCTCAGCTCCTGGCTGGATGGCGATTTTCCGAAGTCCCTCGCACGTACACGGGTCCACCTCACTATCCACCGAATGCGCTGGGGCCTTTGGTAACGGCGATGGTCCCTCTTCCCTGACACTCCCCCTTCCCTGCAGGCGTTTTTACAGCTCTACCTTCTAGCTTCGTCCCCTTTTTCCCTCCCCCTTCACACCTGCGTACAGCTCCAGGACCTGGTGAAGAAAGGGCAGGGTGGCCGGAGGGACCTGCAAGGGGGAAATAGACAGCAGGTGATACAATTTACCTTGCTCAAGGCGGGGTGCAGGAGGGCAAGTCGGTTCTCGGTTGTCGGTGCCAGGTAGGCGCTATGGGGGCCCACTTCCAGGGCCCGTGCTGTGCTGCGTTGGATACGCCGACCGCACCTGGCATTGATCTGTGAGGCGGATGAGTAACTCTTTGGGGAGTCGCAGCTGACCGTCCGGGCGTGTCGCAGAGGTAGCCGTTGTGGAGCGATGGCCATGTGCATTTGACAGATGGCCATTAATCCCTTGGGACGCCGTTTGACGTGGAGTGAGCATGTTTGGGCACTGGTAGAGAGTTTTAGAAGTAAGCGCCATCTGGCGAGTCCTGAGACAACCCTGTCGCAGGCTCCCGGAAAGCATCTTCAAGTGCCACTCGCCCTTGGAGAGCGTAGCTTGGTCTAAGGTTCTTCCGGACACAAGGATTTCGTTGAAACTTTAAAGATGATATAAGCGTTCTCAAGGGCTGCTATATATTGTAGTTTCGTTTTCGTTTCAGCTAGCAGGAAACCCTAAATGTCGGTTGACTTGCCAACCAAGCGCAAGTATAACAGAATAGATGAACTGGAGAGTCTTAGGCATACTCAGTCTCAATAGTAATCACGTACCAATGCACCTTTGGATTATAAATGATGCTGGCGTGGACGTGTACGTTGGCATGACGGGTGTTGCGTACGAGAGGAAAACGGAAAACAGTATCCCAGGATAATTAAGATACTGGAGGACGTTCAAAATAACGTAGCGTAGTTCTTCAAGGTTGCTACCGGGTCCGCGAAGTTGGAAAGCACACGGTCACGACCGTTACCGCATCCGGTGTCCGAGCCGCGGCGTCTAATGGATAACATATTTAGCCCTTCAGGTGATAAGAGTGATGTCATCTCTTTCATTTGCTGCAGCTTACAGTCCGCCTTTGCATCGTAACCAAGGACCCCACGGCCCATGTTGCCGCTAGCTATCGCCTGAGCGCGTGTCCTCATGTCGGCAAGTATTGCCGTTCTTGCTGTTGTTACAGATTGGGAGGCTTCTGGGCCAATTGAAACACATTTGGATTGTCATCTAGGATTGAACACCCTACAGCACCATCACCAGTACCACACAGTACTACGCCATACAAACTGCAAGATTCTGCCGTCTAGAATCCCTCCTTATCATTTCACCCGAAAATCCTCAGAGACAGAGGGTTCAGCAGTCGCTACCAATCCAGAGTGCGGGTATCAGTCCATCAACTGTGACCTCAACTCCACATCAAAGCAGCTAGCCATAATCTCACGGCCCCCACAATGTCAAAGGTTAACCCAGAAATCGAACTCAGTAGCTGGAACCGCAACTGCAGTAGTGTATGCAGACCAGACCGCAAGTGTGACTGAGTAGTGCGCTCAACCTTGCAGCTCCGCACGAAGTCTCTTGCATCTCCCTTCGTTTTCATAAGAGAATAGATGAGGTTACAGCGGGAAGTTGGCTGCATATGCCAGCACTTTGCACGACCAATGGTCCATAGAGCCTGACTAGGCCTCCTCTCTTAACCCTGAATACCACGTGACGTACTTCTTGCCACTGATGCGCGATGAGTCCATGCCAGAGCGGATGGTCAAAGATAAACTGCGCAAGTTCATAACAGCTGTCCAAGTCCAATCCAGCTGCCGTAGGTAAGAGGCGTCCCGCAGTCCTCTCCCAAGGCCTTCCCCGATAAGGGCTCTTCCTACCGCCTGCAAAACTTTAAAAGGCATGCCATGATCTCAGTATGCTGCCGTCGGTGGGCCTTATGTGCGTGATGAGTGTACCTTTTGGCTCTTGCGGGGGACGCAACGCATTATGTGCCCACCGCCAACTGCTCAAGGGGAACGCCCGCTGATCTGCGACGAGTGCTTGCATCGCTCGGGTCCCGCGGAAAGCAACCCGTCGCAATACTTTTAAAGGTGCACCATGGCGCCTGTTGCAAGGAAGTTCTAGCTGCAGGCCTCCCCTGCCTCCCTGTGATGTCCGGGCGAGGGGGGGAACATGGAACCGTTAACGCCGTTAAAGGCAGGTGCGCTGGAGGAAGGAAACCCGCAGGCTGTCCCTTCCGGCCAGGATTAGACGGCCCCTCGGGCTTTGTGTTACGGTACCTGGATTAATTATTGAAACAAACGTCCAATGGTTAGGTTGACCTCAGTTGTTGATTTCACCTGGTAAACATGGCAGAGCGCGTCTTACAGGTGGCCAGAACAGTTTTCTGTGTGCCATACATCGCCCTTGCCTCTGCAAAGAGGATAGCTGGCTTCGATCTTCGAGAAATGACACATGGGTCTATTGATGGTTTATGTGTCAGCGTGGCACGATGGTGACTGTGAGATTGGGCTTGGGAGAAGGGCTGAGGCGGCAGGGGCATCGTCGGTAGGGCCGATGCCGTTTGGAGGCCATCAGAAGCACAGGATTGTCATATTTAATCTTAACCAAATGTAACAAAGGATTTAAAGCTTGCCTGCATTCCCGTCCTGCTCACTGTAGTGCCTATTTGTCGGGTGCGGAACTGGTACGGTACAACATGCTGGCTGAGGCCCGACCGCGTAAAGGCTATCTGCCACAGATGGCGATCGCCGAATAATTTTGCACATATAGCTAACTTAAGCACAAGTGGCTGGAAGGGCCCGGCTATCCTCGAATCCAACGCCGTGTATGGGTCGTCCCATTGGTCGCTCGCCAACTTGGAGTTCCGCTTCAGACTCCATACTTCTATCATTATTTGTCGATACTAAATTTTACGTTAAGCTTCGTAAAACATCCGTCGGCGTCTGAATTGTCACTCGAAGCTACAGAAGCAAAGCTTGTAGATGAACTTCTCAGATGTTATCTCATTTGCCATAATAGATTATCATTAGCTGCATAACTTATGGCGATGTAAGCTTCGCGAAGTCCGTGGCTGGGAGGCCAGTCTTCGGTTTTGTCGGACCAACAAAATGGCATCGAACGGAGCTGCATTAGTTCACGAGCTTCAGACTCGAATACGCGAGCTCGAAAACTTGCGCAAGACCCGCACAGATGAGGCGTCGAGGATTATTGCATCCCAGCGCTCCACCATCGACCGGCTTCGAGCTGAGAACCAGCGATTGGCGGCTGATCTCACTTCTGTTGGAAGCACGGATGCCACTGCGATGGCTGCTTTGGTCGCAACGGGCTCCGCCGCGTCCTCCGTCATGGTCAAGGTAAGAGAGGTCATCCGCAAGAGACCGAACGGAAACGGGGAACCCGTCCCGTGTACCTATAGTGGTGTACAACTTATATCCCAAATGTGCGCAACGTCTTCGGGCGTCTTTGGATGACCGGTCCGGTGCCGCGCTCATAGGATCCCCCGCATGCTATCGTTGAATCCCCAACGTCCCTGGTAGTAGGCTCCCGTCCCGCATTCCGCCTGAATCTCCCTCCCCTTCTTCTGCTACAGCCGGCGGGACTCACACCCTCCCAGGCAGAGCGTGCGGACAAGCTGATGGAAGTTGCCGACACGTACAGCAGAAAGGTATGGTGCCGTGCAGAAGCCAACCGTGTCGTACCCGGAACTGCCTTGCCTTGTGGTTCCTCAACCCACGGGGGCCACGCGTGTGCCGATCGCTGCTCAGGACGTCACGCAGCCGCGGGGGGCATTACTGAACACAGTGAAAGCGCTTCGGAAGTGCTTCGGAGCACTGCGAATAAAGCGAAGTGAAGAACCATCTGAAATCAGATTTATCGTACTGCAGGGTGCACAGGCTATGAAAGTGGGCCCCTACGTCTTAATGGCCCCACCCTACCTGCCGTTGGCCTTGCCCAACCTCCCGCTTAGTGCGCCCGTTTCCCTCCCCCTCCCCCCTCCCTCCCACCTACCCCGGGACCCCCCGCCCCCACCCCCGGGGTGTCCTGCCAGATTGAAGTGGAGCAGCGGCAGTTGGAGAGCTTGGAACGGGAAGTGGAGCTGGCTCAGGCGCAGGTAAGTTGAGGGAGGGTGCGCTGGGTGGGGGAGGGGCCGGGGGGAGTGGTTGGGCGGCCGGAGGAATGGTGCTGGTACGGCGGAAGGGGGAAGGGGGACGGGCGCACCTCCACCCGGTCATCCCCCGTCACCTCCCTCATCTCCCCTCACCCCGCCCCGCGCCGCCCGCCCTGCACCTCAGTTGCTGGCGGCCCGGAGGGACATTGGCGGCCACAGCGGCACGCAGGCTGTTACAGTGGCTCCGGTGAAGGCGATCAAGGCGCTGGAGGTGAGAATCGCCAGTGTGCGTGTGTGTATATGTATGTATGTATTGTGTGCATGGGTGGGTGCGGGATTGGATGAAAGGAATGGTGGCAGGGGCAAAACCGTCACGTGGCATCTCTGTCAGGTCGGTCCGGTCCGGGACCAGACCCGACCGCTCAAGAGGAGGTGTGAACCCCGGCCGAGTCGCGCCACCCCCCGACCGCGCTCCCAGCACCCTGATTGCCACACTCCATATCCACATTCAACAACTTGGCTGATGATAGCCGCTCTGCGGTTGCCCGTGTCGCTACTTGGCCTCATATCCATTGCCTACCTAACCCCCTCCCGCCACCTCCCTCCCGCCCTCCCTAGACCCGGCTGGATGCGGCCCACCGGCGCTTTAACGAGCACATCGCGGCCAACAGGGACCTCAAGCAGCAAATAGATGCGGCCACACGCAGACAGGCAGCCTTGGAGCAGGTGAGGCCGTGTCGTGTGTGTGTGTGTATGTATGTGTGTACGGGGGCAGAGGAAGGGAGGGGGAGGGGAATGGGTTTGGGATGTGTCGCGGGGTGAGACGGATTTAGGCGGTGGGGAGGTAGGTAGGTAGGTAGGTAGGTAGGTAGGTGGGGTTTGGAGGGCACCGGGGGTCACTGTCTATGGCTCAGGTGCCCAGGGTTCGCTCGGCCCAGGGGGTATTGGCGCGGTGCGCTGCGGCTCGGACTGGTCGTCCTCCAGCTACCACACGTGTTAGCGGCTCCCACTGCACTGTTTGAACGGTTGTGGCTCGCTGCTGCCCCTAACCCCCCTGGCAGCAGCTTCACTCGTTCGTGGTTCGTCTCTCCCCTCCCGCCCCCCTCCTCAGGTCCGCTCCCACCTGGAGCGGGAGGTGGCCTCCGTGGCTGCCGAGCTGCTGGCGGTGCATGAGGTCACCAGAGTGGCTCAGGAGGCTAGGCAGGAGGCACTGGCGCAGGTGGGGGGGAGGGGGGAGGAGGGGGGGAAGGCTGTTCAGCTACTGCTACTGCTGGGTGCTGGGGTTTACATCTCTTCCCGTTCGCTGCTGCTGCTACTGCTACTGCTGCTGTTGTCGTACCTGCCACGTGTACTCAATCGCGTCGGTTTCGGAGCTCTCCTCACGTCCGATGTTGCGCTGCGTGTGCTGTGCTTTGATGCCCGGTGTCGCCCCGTTGTATGGCCGTTGGTCGTTGCTGGTTGGTATACAGGTGGCTGCTCTGCGGGTTTCGGAGGATGCCGAGGCGGCTGCGTTTGAGGCGGAGGTTCGGGAGCTTGCGGCTTGCCAGGCGGCGGATGAGAAGCTGCTGCAGGTGGTGGTGGCGGTGGGGGAAGGGGGTAGGGGGAAATGTCACCTGGAGCAGGCGGTATGTGTGTTTGTGTTTGTGTATTTCTGGACAGTGGTATTTGCAACCTGCGGGGCAGGAGGAGGAGCAATAGGGGCCCGGGTTGGCACCGGGATGGGGAGCTATCTCCCACCCGGGGGGGACCCGCCACCGCCGCTACCCCGATGTGATGCCTGAGGTAGGTAGGGAAGGGCCCAGGAGGCCCGTACACGCCGGGGCCCTCCTACATGGGCCGCCCCCCATGATACTGCTCTTGGAGGACATGGACACGCATATGACGTCCCTTCTACTGCGTGTAAGTAAGACATGCAGACGTACATGTATGCGAGCACACGCGCACGCTGATGTTTCCTTGTTCATTGATGCAGACGCCAGACGCGCCCGTGCACATGCACATACACACACACCGAACCCAGCCCCCTTCCCCTCCTCCTCTTCGTCCTCCCCTTGTTGCTGCCCCACCAGGCCCAGGCCGCCCGACTCACGCGGGCGGTGGAGGCGGCCGAGGCGACTGAGGGCGGCGCGGGCGGGGGTGGGGGCGGGGGTGCCACCTCGGAGCCACTGGACTTGGACTCGCTTGAGCAGGGTATGGGGGTGGAGGCGGCGGCACTGCAGCTGCAGAGGGCCGCGGGTGAGTGAGTGGAGGAGGGAGGGGAAGGAGAGGAGGTAGGTAGCTAGGTATGTAGGTACGGGGAAGGGGGAAGAGGGAAAGACGAACCACGAACGAGGAAGGGGGAAAGGGCTGGTGTTGTTACCTCCGAGGCGGCGACTGCTGCTGGATTGTGCTGACTGGCAGGTGCGGGGTCTTTCCTCTGTCATCCCTTCGCGCACCGAAACCAGCCATCCTTCACAACTATTACCCCACCCTCCGCTGTCCCTTCCCCTTAACCCTCCTCCATAATCAATCACCCTGCTTTTTCCCTTTCCTTCCCTTGTCCGCCCCTTCCCCCGTCCGTTTTCCCCTCTCCCCTTCTTCCCCCTCTTCCCCCCACTCAGGAGTATCCTCCCTGCCAGAGGCCCTGGATCACTACCGCTCCCTGGAGCAGCGCTCCTTCGAGCTGTTCACCTCGTGCAATGAGGCCAATGAGCGGATGCAGGTGCTGGGTCAGGAGGCCAGGGAGCTGGAGGCGGAGGTGCGCCAGCTGGAGGTGAGGAAGGGGGGGGCAGGGGAGGAGGGAGGGAGGGGGAGGGAGAGGGTAATCAAACAAAGGAACAACGGCCGACGTCTAAAGCTGCAAATAATGGGAGGGTAAGGAAGGGAGTTGGGGGCAGCTGCTGTAGTTGTTTGTGCTGGTGATGAAAGGGGTGTTTGGGGCGGGCTGGGTGGGGTTGGGAGTGGGGGTTGAGGTCCTGGCAGCCAGGGGGTTGAAGGCGGAGGAGGACCGGGGTTCGGTGGAAAGGCAGGGGGACGGGGGGAGGGGCAGTTGCGGAGGTTTGGTGGGACGCGTTTTGTATTTGATTGGTCTTATTTTATTGGTTGGGCCGGGATGGGGGCGATGGATGTTGCTCCGTTTCAAAACCCCTACTCACCTGGGACATCCGTGCTTAGGTCTAGTCCGTGTGTGTGCGTGTGTGTATGTTCCTGCCTCTCCCCACCGGCTTCCCCTGTCCCGGCCCCCCGATTGGGCCCCAGGCGGATGCCGTGGTGGGTCGGCAGCACGATGCGATACGCCAAGTACTGGGTCGCCGGGACGCAGCCGTCAAGAGACTTGAGAGTCTGGTAGACAGACGAACAGCCATGGAGCGACGGCTAGCTATGCTGCGGACAGGTACGGCGGGTACGGATATGGCACGGCGAAAATTGATGTACTGCGTTTGGCGCCGCAAGTACTTCGCACAGACGGGGTGTGTATGGCATGCGCATTGGACCCCTTACGGCACCGTACATGCTGTCTGGCCTGTAGGGAGAGTCCCCTCTGTTGGTTCGTGTGTATGAGCAGCTGCCGTACAGTCCGCCGCCGTGGGTGAACCTGCGCCGCTGGCTGTCTGGTTGGCTGGCGGGCTGACAATGACGGGCTGGGTGCTTCCGCTGCTATGCTCCTTGCCCGCCAGGCATCTTGACGTGCCTCCGGAGGTTGGGTGCCGCTGCGGCAGCGCAGGCCTGGGATGCCTCCGCGCCGTCGGTGTCAAGTGGCGGCAGCAAGCGGTCCAGCGTCAGCGACGGCGGCAGCGCCGGCGGCGGCGGGGCTGTTGCGGGGGCGGCCCCGCCAGCGCAGCACCCCTCAGCGGCCTTATGCGCTCACGTCATGGCGGGACTGGCCCTCCTGGAGCATCGCGCCGCCGCCATCATTGCCGTGCAAGGTACGATAGTGGGCCGTTCGTCCAGCCTGGCGCGTGTGTCGGGATCTGGCAGCAGACCGACTACCGCATTGCCCTCGACGGCGGCGGGTCCCGGGGCTTCGTCGGCCGCCGCCGCCGGCAAGGCGGCGGGTCGCGGCAGCGGCAGCGGCGCAGCCGGTGGCGGTGGCGGCGGCGGCGGTGGCGGCGGCAACGAAGTCGAGATGATTGACGAGTCTGACGAGGAGGAGATGCCGCTGACGAGGGAACAGATACAGGCGCGCTCCGCTAGTATGCATAGGCTGTAGCGCAAATGCCGTACAGTTTTAGTGACGCTGTGGTGGCACGGCCCGGCGGTGGCGGGTTGCCCCGGTGATTTGTTTGAGTGCTTGTATGTATATACGTACTTGCCAACTACGGGGATAAGGGCTGGAGGGCTGAGGAAGCGTACGGTAAGAGGATACAGTAGTACTGATCATGTCGTTTTTAGTGTTGGGGGCTTCCCTGCTTGTGTCCTCTCGCGGTCGTTGCTCGTTGGTTTGGTTTGTGGCGAAGTGTTGCAGGAGAATCAGGGCGGTACGGTAGACACGCCCACTAAATATCGTCATGACGCGGGGTGGCGGCGCGAGTGTGGCCTTGGGTTAGTGGTACATTTAAGAAAGGCGGATGTGCGGCGGGAGCAGTTTGGCTTTGGGCCCCGAATATCACCTGTTGTTGCATCGGGCGCCACCAACCTGGCACCTATGTTTGGCGGACTCCGTGTGTGACCTTAATCGTTTTCGTTTATTCATGGAGCGGGATTTCTCCTGGTCTGAGGGATTGGACTTCCGGTAATCCAGGCCTTGCCTGTCCTGCGTTTGCTCTATACATTTTGGATGTTTAACGGTAAACCGTTGCCCGCGGTAGCACTTGCAGCTACCTGGCATCAGTCAAAAGGTGACGTAAGCGTATATATGCACAGCTTCACAAAACATTTTTATATAACGTCAGCTAGCCAAGGTTCGACCCACCTATCACGGGCTTCGAAAGGACTGCTGCCGAAGGGCAAAGCATTTTGATGCTTTTACGGCAACTGCCTAAACTTTCAGCAGCTGTTTCAGCCGCTCGTAGCGCAAGGTTTCCAGCAGGGATCAGTCGGGGCCATATATATCGAGCGTGGGACTTGCGAAAGAGCAGCTCAGTTTCTGAACGCGCGATGACCGCTACAAGCGTTGATGCGCCTATTGAGGCCGACATGTACCATATGGGCCCTGGAACGCTAAGGTGACGACGCAGCACGGAGGTCATTCGGCATGCGCACAATGGACAAGTCACAAGTGCCTCAGGACGCACAAAGAGTCTTGCGGCGTGTAGAGCTACACGCTTGGGAAACGTATATAGAACTATAGCTTACAAAGGCAATTAAATCTGTTCGATCCGCAGAATTTCGCGGAAGGTCTTGCACGGCAAGCTGCGCAGCAGGTTGCTCGAGAGCTTGCGGGACGCGCTGCCAGAGGAGAAGCGCGGGCTAGTTTTTCTGGAGGTGCGTGTTTCCTCCACCTTCTATAGGTCCCCCTTCCCTTTCTTCCCCATCCCGGCGGGCCAGCGTCAAGGAGGACACAGCATTGCACCCAGTCCATGTCACCCTGAGATCACCACCCTACGTAATGCGGCGGGGTCCTGATGTTTGCAAGACCCAAAACAAAGGCAGAAAGCTTACCTTGACAGGCTCAGGGCCCCTGCAGATGTCCCGTCTCGACTAAAGTATGGCCTAAACAGACTTCAGACCCGTGGGTCATTCGGGGAACTGTGTTGCGCTGTGGACCGGGGACGGCCGCCTTGGGTGCTGCGGGTCGTGGTCGGAGGTCCGTGCAACCACACGGGTCGAGTGGAGGGCACGTGACGCAAAGGTGCAGTGGCGCAAAGGCTCTTGTCGCATTGGCCAGGCGGTACTTCCCCCATCACTTTTTTCCTCTCCCTCGCTTTCTCGGCCCGTCCAAGCGCTAACCCCCCACCACGGCCCTCTCAACCTCCGTGATGTCCTGGTCCCCCTTCCCTACCCTCAGGGCGGCAAGGAGAACCACTTGTACAGCAGTGACGGGGAGCCGCTGTTCCGGTGGGGCTTGGGGGTCCAGGGGGAGGGGGGCAGCGGGGCCCGGGCAGTCCTCCGGGGCGGGAGGGACAGAGGGACCGCGGGGGGCCCGAGTAGCCCAGGACTCGCTCCGAGGGTTGGGTCATTGCGTGAGTTGAAGGGCGGAGAGATCAGTTAAGCGAAGCCGGGCGCTGAATTGGAGAGGCCAGTGGGGAGACGGTCGCGGCATGGCCTCCCACGTGTCCGCAGCTGTCTGTCTGTCTGTCTGTCTGTTTGGTTAGACTCGGTGTATTCCAACTCAGTATATTCGGTTGTAAACTAATAACAGTGGTGTATCCGCAATGAACAAGGAATGCTGCTGTAGGAACCTGCAGTACACCTGCAGTACATACGGCTGAGATGGTATCTCCCGCCCACCGCCGCCTCGCCGACACCACGTCATCCTCCTCTCCTCTCCCCCCAGGCAGGAGTCCTACATGCACTACCTGTTCGGGGTGCAGGAAGCGGACTGGTTCGGAGCGCTGTGCGTCAAGACGGTGTGTACGAGACGGGGGTTACAGCGTTCTACAGCATACCGTACGGCATGCACGCATATAAATTTTAATGGCGAAAATGCCTTTTGCCACGTTTTGGTTTGTGGGGTCCCGTCAGTGCAGTGCAGTGCAGGACAGTGGGCACGTCCCTCTCCCCACGTCAGCAGCTCGCAGAAATTCCACCCGCGTGCTAATGTTGCTCCCGCTTTGCCGCACTGCAGGGGCGCTCGCTGCTATTCATGCCCCGCCTGCCGGAGTCGTACGCGGTGTGGATGGGCAGGCTCAAGGGACCGGACGAGTTCAAGGCAAAGTACGGCGTAGATGCCGTACATTACGTGGACGAGATGTCCGAGGTGCTTCGCGGCCTTGCGCCTCCTTGCCTTCACGTGCTGCACGGAGTTAACACGGACAGGTGCGTCAGGAGCCGGATCGAATATGTGTTTTAATGATCTTCGGAGCCGCTATGGGGGGGGAAATCCCGATGGTGGTACGCGAATAACTTCGTACCGAAGCGAGCTCCGTACTCGCCAGTGACGTGTGTATACATATGTCTTAATGTGTTATGCAACACCTGCTATCGGGCCCTCAGCTCCCCTCCTCCGCCTCCTGTTTTTTTCTTCTCGTCAATTACATGTGCTTCATCGTACCCCTCCTCCCCCTCTCCTCAACCACCTGCCTCTCTCCTCCCCCCCGCTGTGTGCAGCGGCCTGCAGGTGCCCCACCCGGCGGCCCCCAATACCGGCATTCCCCTGGACATGGATACCCTGTTCGACATCATCACGGAGCACCGCGTGGTAGGCCGTCGTACAGTGATAGCGGTTAGCTCGGTTGCGGCGGTTGCGGCGGCGGTTACGAGCGCGGAATCAAAACCGGCGATTCAAAAATGTGCACTCCCAAGTCTGCGATTTAGATTTACGATTTGAATCTGCGGTCCAAGTGAGCGACACAAAGCTACGATTCAAACTTTTGCAATTTAAATTTGCGATCCAAACCGCCAGATCAAGATTCCCGAGGAGATCGAGATCATTCGTTACGCCAACCGCATCGGCTCCGCCGGCCATGTGGCCATGATGCGGTGCGCCCGGCCGGGCCTTATGGAGTACCAGTTGGAGTCCACCTTCCTGCACCACTGCTACAGCACCGGGGGCTGCAGGTCGCCCATGTTCACCCCCATTGCCGCCTCCGGAACCAATGCCGCCATCCTGCATTACGGCCATGCGGCGGCGCCCAACGGTGGGGGAATGACTGCGTGTGTGGGCGGCTGGGTGGGTGGTGATGTTATTAGCTTGGTGAGGAGTTGAGCGGGAGGACCGCATTGCAGCATGTTTTTATCCGTACATTATATGTGGTCATACATACGCACGCACGCATGCCACGTCCCCTGCCTTCCCCCGAACCGAGGAAGTCCCCCTCCTCTCTCCCATCGCCATCCCTGGAGCAGACCGGCAGACCGCCCCGGGGGACCTCGTCCTGATGGACTGCGGCTGCGAGTACTACGTGTATGGCAGTGATATCACGACGACATGGCCCGTGGGTCAGTGCGGGCCGGGGTTATGTGTGTGTGTGTGTGGTGAGGGGGTTAAACGGTCATCCCCGCTTGGTCGGTTCCAGATCGCCCCGGCCCCCTTCAGAAATCCCCTTCCGCAAATCCCTTTCATTCCTGGGGCCCTCTCCTCACCTGACCCCCTCCCTTTCCGTACGTCCCCCATGTCACACACATACATACATACATACATACATACATACATACGTATATGCTGTGTTTCGGCCGTGGCCCCCGGCTTTCGCGGCCTACAGTGTAATCTAAGTCATACACACATACGTACATACATACATATATACATACGTACACACCTTCCCTCCCCAGACGGCAAGTTCACTCCGCAGCAGCGCCATGTGTACGAGGCGGTGCTGTCGGCGCAGAGGGCGGTGGAGGCCGCGATGGGGCCGGGAGTGGCGTGGCCGGTAGGGGGCTGAGTGCGGGAAGGGGGGGCCCAGCGTGTATATGTGTACGTGTTGGGGGAGCTTGTGTTTTTAGTGCGGTCAAGGGCGGGTTCCCTGAGATCCCCGGGCTGCTCTCATGGCGAAGGGGTGTGGAGGGGTGGTGGACCTGAGCGCCGCAATGAGGTGAGGTGGCGTAAAGACGAGGTGAGGTGGTGTGCGATGGGGGGGGAGGTGTCGCGTGGTTTTCCGCCTCCAGCCCCACGCATCTCATGTTTCCTTCTTCTTTCTCCTCCGTCCCCTCCCGCCAACTTCCTGATTACTCCCATCCTCGTTATCCGCGGCACCCCTCCCCCACCTCCCCCACCCAATCGCGTGCGGTTCGTCTTTCCCCACCTCCCCCACCCAACACCACACACACACGCATAAGGACATGCACGAGCTAGCCTACCGCCGCATCCTGGAGGGGCTTATGTCGTGTGGAGTCGTGACTGGTGGCAGTGTGGAGGAGCTTCTGGCGGCGGATATCGGGGCGCTGTTCATGCCGCACGGTGGGTTGGGGCCGGAGTGAAGGGCTGGGGGAAGGGGGAGGAGGGGACGAGGGGGCGTTTCTTGCCCTTTCTTTCTTGACCTCCCGCTATGCCTCCCGCGCCCATCTTCACCTTGAAACGGCAAACGTTCGTGCGTGAGTCTCTTTGCTGGCCCTCTTTGCCGCCATTGCCCCGGGCAACCGTCGCAAGCCCCAACACAGCTCCCCAAGTCCAACCCAACTGTCACATTGCACATCTCCCTCCGGGCCGCCCGTCATCACATCTCCCTCCGGGCCGCCCGCCATCACATCTCCCTCCGGGCCGGGGGGCCCCCCTCCCGGCCCCCCCGGCCCCTCCCCCACCTCACTCACTCTTTGGTCGTATCACCTTGGTCCCTGCCCACTGTTCTCTACCCCACCCACTCGTGCGTACTTCGGTTTTTTTCTCGGTTCTGCTTGTCCCCCTTGCTCATGACTACACGACATATACGTCGGTACCATAAGTATGTATGTCGGTCACGTCAACGAGGCTTTTCTTCCGGAACCGGGTGACTTCATCACTTAGGCCTCCGACATTTTCGAAGTTTGCACGCCGGCAGTTCAAACCTTGTCCCCCTTGGTCACGCTTGCTTGCGATGTCCGCGTCGTCGGTTTGTTTCGTTTGTACGACCACTTTCCTGCTCCGCGTCCTGCACCTTTATTTTTTTCTCAGCTCCTCTTCATCTCTTTGCCCTAGTCCGTTTTTATACGAGTTTCCTTCAGCGGCGCGTCGCATGCATTCCTTTGTTTAGTTGCCGCTGCTGACCATCTTTTTTCTTGCTCTCTGTTTTGCATGTGCCCTAACCTGCCACTTGTGCCGCCTGGCCAGGTGAGTCCTAGGGGGTTCGAGCTTTGTCTTTTGTTTCGCACTACGTCGGCCGTCTAGCTAGGTTGGGTTGGTTGGGTTGGTCGGGCCGGGAGCGTGTAGCCTTGGGGGCTGGGAGGAGTGCATGCATGTCAGCAAGCAGTGTAGCAGCGAAAAAATCAGCAAATATATCGTTTACTTTTTTTCGCCGCTATGTCGGCGTAGACCTTCCGACTACTTCACGATACACCTCCTGATGCGTGTTCCTCTTTTCCCCTTTAGTTCTACTCTTAACCACCAAGGTGTCATTTGCTTTCCTGCTTTATTTTAAGACTTTCTTTCGTCTGAGCGGCTTGGTAATTTTTTCGCTTTTTCGCCAACCTTCTTTGGACTTTGGACTCGGCAGCTAGTAACTCGCTTCGCAACCTAGCTGGCCACGTCGCCGCCAAGACCATTATTCAAGTCACCATTGGGTCAGAAAATATTCCAGATGCAGTGTTAGTCTTCTCCTGGACTATCCGTCTATCTCTGGCATCTGCTTCATTCGCCAGTGGTTCGTCTACCTCCCCTCCTCCTCCCAACCGCCAGGTCTGGGACACTTCCTGGGTCTCAATACACACGACGTGGGGGGTTATCCCCCGGGAGCTCCCCCCCGCAGCTCCCGACCGGGATTTCGGAGCCTGAGAACTGCCCGTGTGCTACAGCCGGGTATGGTCATAACGGTGGAGCCTGGCTGCTATTTCAACCCGTCGCTGCTACTGCCCGCATTGGAGGTGGGTGAGGGAGCCCTGGGCTTGGGGTTCGATTGGGGTTGGTTGTGAATTGGAGGAGTTACGGTTCGTGGGAATTGGTAGTATGGGTTGGTTGTGACGTGGGAGTTGCGATTGTTCCGGACGAGAGAGGTCTGGGGGGCGAGTCAAGGAAATGAATTGCCGTGTGAGAGAGAGGGTGTGTGTGTATGTAAGTGGGGGGAGGGTTGGAGCGATGCAGGGGAGAAAGAAGGGAGAGGGGAAAAGTGGGAGGGAGTCGTCTGCAAAACCCAAAGAGGCCGCTGCCGACGCAGCAACCGCCGAAGAGCCGAAGTCCAATGACGTGACTGCCAGTCAGCAGGAGTGCGGGAGTGAGGGGGGGTCTGCAGGGTTTTGCGCCCAGGGAGGGGGCTCGTGCCCATGTCTTGGCTGGAGGGAAGGGAGCAAGATACATTGGCCCGGTTGTTGGCTTTGGACGTGTATTTGGTTTCGGAGGGCTTGGGGTCTGCTTTATTTGAGGCTTGAGGCTTGAGCTTATCTTTCTGACATTTGCCGGTTTTCCCTCTGCCGCCCTCTCTGCAAAGCCCTCTGCCAACCAACAGGTCCGTCCATCCACCCCTGTACCCTGTTAATAAGGCCTATCACTGTGACATTGATGCCGCCTTCTGTTCGTACTGTGTTCGTACGGCGACGTAGGACCCGGACAAGGCCAAGTACCTGGTGCGCGACGCAGTCATGTCGTACATGTCGGTTGGGGGCGTACGACTGGAGGACAACGTGGTGGTTACGGAGACGGGCATCGAGCGGTTGACGCACGTGCCGAGGAGCCCGGAGGAGGTGGAGGCTGTCATGGCGGGAGCGCCTTGGCCGTGATGGTAGCATTGGGGGGTGTTGGGTGAGTATGTACGGGGGAAGGAATCATAATGATGACGATGATGATGATGCGATCCTTGAACTGAGCCACCTAAGTTAGTGATGCAAGAAGCAAAGGCTTAAATGCCGGCAAAGGGTGGGAGGTGCGGGGAGGGCAGGTGCGGGGAGGCGGGATGCACGGGACCAGAAAAGGACCTAACGGACTACCGGACTGCGCGGAGGGCTGCGGTCTGCGTGGAAGGACAGGGAAGGGAGACGAGCGGATGGAAATGGATAGATGTTGTGGAGATGCGGGAAGGTTCGGAATGGAGCTTGGAACGAGGTTGGTTAGACACGAGAACTGACCCAAGGATACTGGGCATTGATAGTTCGGAGCTTCGTGGAGCGCTAATTAGTGGGCAGTCATACAGCCGAAATCATGATGGTTCGAGCCCCATGGCTGCGGTCAATCGTATGCTTGGCCCACAGTGTTGTGCGGTTAGCGCTCGTTTGGGGCGTTGCACACGAGCCGGACGGGCTTCACTGTTAAAGTTAATATATTTGTATACCTTTTTAAAAGGCGGAAACTGCAGGTGAATAGGCCGTTTGCGGAGAAGTGCACACCTGCTCAGGCCGTCAGGCGAGCCAGCGAATTCAAGTTGGGTTGGCTTACTTGGATGAAATATGAATGTGCTGATGTACATCATGGAGGTGGGACGTTGCTTTTTATATAAATCAGGGCTGGCGCTGGAATAGATATTGAATCAGGCGACCATATTACGTCATGCAATTGAATGTCAATGTGACTGCTACGTGACAGCTACCAGAGCACCATGATCATACAATATGCCTTTCATTGCAAAAGCAACGTGTATTGTACCCGATGCTGCACCCCGTGCACACTCAGGAGCCACAAAGCTCAGGCCACCTTACTTGCAGCACCAGTCGGCTGCAAGCTTAGTTCTTTTTCCCGGGGCAATGAAATTAATGGACCTAAGGCTTCAAGGTGCCTGGCCTCTGCTGGAGATCATGCAGTTCCGGAGCAACTTCTGCAGTCACCAGCAGCTGTCGTTGGGTATGTTTCGAAGCAACCTCTGCTCAAACGTTATCTTGGAATAACAGCTGAGAATGATGAAATCAATGGAGGCAGCGCAGAGTCAGGGAGCGAAAGGAAGGGCGAAGTCAACGTTCAGGAGCTCTCAGGAGGAAGGATCAACTTCGTATGGGGTGTCAGCGGGCCTCAGGGAGGGTTTGTGCTCAAGTATGCGGCGCCCTTCGTGCGGTCTATCGGGCCGGAGTTCAAGTTGTCGCAGGTCCGCACGCTAGCCGACACCGCAACCCACACGCCGGCAACCCGCAACCGCAACCCCAACCCGCACCTTGCCTGGGCTCGCTCTGAACTCCTTATCTCCTTAGCTCTTCACGGCGTGCACACCCTGGATTTCCAATCAGCGCTTCCAAAGCCTTTTATTTGGCAGATGCAATGTCTCTGACGCGTTCCCAAAAGCCTGTTGTACCTGCCGCCTTGACTTTCGACCGCTTACGCTCAAAACTAATTGCCTTTGGCATCCAGAACACACTCGACGGAACACCGTCTCATGGGTGCACGCATGGACTCAGGCTTTCCCCCTAACGAAACCCACAGTGTACCGTACCTCTCCACGCACTTCTGAACCCCCTCCACCTCAGACTCGGCTAGGGGTAGAGGCCGAGGCCATGGCTGCTGCACACACCGCCTGCCCTCAGCATGTGCCCAAGCTGCTGCTGTACGACGCCACCGCCAACGTGCTCGTCCAGGAGCTGGTTTCGGGGCCAGGGGGCAGTCGCCGGGTGAAACTGGTAGATGCGTTGACGCCATGTAGATCAGCTGGTGCTGGACGCGGCAGCCGCGGTGGCGCTGATGGTTGCCATGGAGCTGCCACAACGGCTGCTTCCCTGCCACCGCTGCCGCCGAGCCTGGCCGCTGATCTCGCGTCGCTATTGTCGGCCTACATGCTCCGGAACTCCATGTATGGACTGCCGTACGAGCAGCATGCCATCATGTCGGAACGGTTGCGCAACGGCGAGGTGGTTGCTGCCAACGCAGCGGTGGTGTTCACGGACCCATGGGATGCAACGTGTGACCGCAACCGAGTGCCGCCAGCCCTCACGGATGAGGTGGCGCAGCTGCGGTAAGGCAGGGGCGGGGACGGGGACGGGGCCAGGTCGGCTTGGGGTCGCGCTGGTGGGGGAAATGCTTTAAGGGTTAAATTTGGGCTGTCTGAGCCCTTTGCCGCTCCTTAGCCCCTTTTGTAGTCCGTAACACCCGCCGTATACACACGCTGTGCTCCTTGCCCCAACCCTCACTGGTTTGAATCCAGATCCGACGCGGCTGTACGGCAGGAAGTGGCACGGTTATTAGACCTGTATCTTGGCAGCACTGAGACGCTCATCCACAACGACCTAACCGCCGGTAATATTCTGGTTCCGGAGCCGCCTCCTTGCATGCCTGCTGAGCTCTACAGCGTCATGTTCTCAAAAGGTAGACGGGCACCTGCGCCCACGTCCGATACCTGTATCCAAGGCGGCAGCGGTCTTGAACCTCGCAGCGAGACGCACCTCATAGACTGGGAGTTTGCCACGTATGGCCCTATGTCGTATGACATCGGAAGCCTACTTGGTAACTTGCTGCTGTCGTACTGCGCACTGTGCGGGGCGAGCCCTGCCGGCCCCGTGGAACCGCGTAGCCAACCCCCCGTGATGGCGGCGGCGGCGGCGGCCGCAGGAGCCATAGCACCTGGCGGCGGCGGCCAAGCGGTCCCGGCGGATATGGCGGCGGTGTTACCGGCATCCCCACTACTGCGCTGCATTGTGGAGCTATGGGAGGAGCTCGAAAGTAGGATCAGGTCGTACAAGCCTCCAGCACACACCTACGCCAGCGCAGCGTCCGTGGATATGGATGACACTTTCCTTCGGGTGCTGCTCTCCGACAGGTGGGAGCAGTGGGTGGCGTGGAACAAACACAACCCTGGCAGGAGGATAATGTTTTTCGGGCGCGGCTGCCAAATGTGGGACCATGTAGGGATTGTACCGTAGGTGCGGGGTGTGGACACCAGCTGGGGGGGGGAGGAGTGGGTTGAGTTAGCTGGGTGGAGAGACGAAGCGCTGCCAGGGAAGGCCTGGGGGCTGCCTGCGGGCCTTCTACCAGGGCTCGGTGCGTTGCAGATGGGAGCCCGGTTTGTGGTCCTGCACGGTGTCGGACTTCCATCTGGCCTTTACGTTTCGTTTCACAGTTTTCCGCCTTCCTACCGCGACCCTAACCTCCCGCCGCGCCTTGAACCCTAGGGGCCTCTCCCCACCGTCTGAGGCCTCCGGGGCTTCCTTCCTTGACCTTGCGTTGTCTCTTTCCTCACCCGCCCCCTCCCACTTGGCTTTGGAAGTCGGCAATACTCATTTCGACTTGCGCATGTGATTCCCAAACCCCACCCCACCCCTCTCCACCCTGTCCCCCCCACCCGGGCTCAGTCTGGGATATGCGGGTTGCGTCATGGCCCGGCTGGTATTCGGAATGCACCACTACCCTGCGCTGGAGGCCATCCCGTGCGACCAGCAGCGGAGCCGCAGTCAGCGCCTGGCGCTGCGGCTGGCGGCGGCGCTGCTGCGCCCCGAGGAGCGATCAGCCCGGTGCTGGGCTCCATACCGTGATAGAGAGCTGGATGCCGCCGCCGCTGCTGCAGCTGCAGTCCGCAGCACCGGAGGCAGTGGCGGCATCCGGCTGTTGGTGTGGGATGTGGAGTGCTGGGCTGCGGAGGCGGTGAAGTTGACCGGGGTGGTGGCAGGCGGGTAGCATTGCGACCGGCAAGGTGTGGGCGGGGCCTACTTGTGCTGCGTCATGACTCGGCTCTGCGGCCCACGCGTATGCGGGTGCGTGGCACCCCCGGCTCGATTTTCCTTTTGCATCAACTGAGACTGACAATTACAGCGGCCATATCGGTGATGTGTGTGCTGTCTGCACATAATCCTGACCCTCATCATCGCCACTGCACAGTAATAACAACAGCAGCAGTAACAGCAACAGCAACAGTAACTCAGGGGTCCTCAGAACCATGACCCTAACCACAACCGCGACCATTCTCTCTTCGACCGCTCTACCATCTCCAATGTATGCACACCCCACACAGAAACAACACGGCGGATGGCGATGACGACTCGCCAGCCCCATCAAGACAAGAAAAGGCGATGACCTCGCAGCAAAGCTACGCAGCTCACCTAACCACCATGCCGCTCCAGCCAGGTAACCCACGGCCCCAGTCCCCATGCAGCAGGACGGTCTGTTTACACAGACCCACCACCATCACAGGATAGGGTACTCGTACTCGACCACCAGGTGGGGTCGCCCAATGTTGCGCCCCAGCCGCAGCAGGGCCGCCTCGCTCCCAGGTGTGGCCCAACCCGACACAACCGCGCGCCGCAGATCCGGACCTAGTGCGGCCAGCAGTGACCCCAGACGATCCATTCGCAACAGCGGAGGGTCGTAACAGGCGTCCAGCCGGGCGCAACGCAGGCCGCCACTGCCGCCGGTGCAGCCGCCGCCGCCGAATTGCAGTACACCAGCTGCCACCAATTCAGCCACCTCATCGAAAAACTCCGGTGACGTCGCCCGCACCTCCAGCTCCTCAAGATGGGGGAGAGATAACAACGGCAGCGGCGGCGCTGCTGCCGCGCCTTGGTCGTCATTGGAGGAGAAGAGCGCTGGCGGCATGAGCTCTGCCTTGAGCGCTAGGTACTCGTCGGCATCCTCGTGGTCCCATAGCGCCAGCCGCCGTAGCGATGGCAACGCCGCCGCAGCGTACAGCAGTCCCAACGTGGAGGCATTATCAGCGTGCGTGAAGGCCAGCGACGTCAGCGATGTCACGCGTGCCAGTGCTGCCGGTGCCTCCACCGCCACCACGCAGCCCAATGATAGCCGCGTCAGCCGCGACGCGTTCCCCAGCATCAACCCGCAATGGAACACGTTGTACACCCCCACAGGCCGCGTGCATGGCACCGAAACCAGCTCCGTAAGCCCCGGGAAGATCTCCGCCAGGGGCTGCGCCGAGTGAGACTCGCTGCCCAGCGTCAGTGACAGAACCTGGGGCAGCGGCGCCGCCGCCGTCCCCCCCCAGCCGCCGTCTCTGCCGCCACCCGCTGCGCCAGGGTCCCACAACGCTAAAAAGGCCGGGGCCGGCGGCGGTGGCTGAGCCTCTGCTGCAGCTTGTGGTGGTTGCCGTCCTTGAGGCCGGGCTGTGAGCAGGTCCACTGTGAGCTGCGTGAGTGCGAGGCAGCAGGACAGAGGACTCAGCTCCCACAGACTGATCTCACAGTCCAGTGTCAGGCTGCGAAGTGACGTCAAAAGGTGTAGGCCATGCAGCAGCGGACCAACCGGCGGCCGCTCTACCGACTCGTAGTGCGTCAAAGACAGCGCCTGGATAGCGCTCCCCGCCGGCGGCTCCGCTGCTGCCGTCGGCTGCGTCGGCATCCGCTGCAGCCCCTCCGCCTCCTCCTCCTCCGCCACCGCCCCTCCTGTTACAAAGCACTTGAAGAAGCTGCTGTTTTGCAGTTCCCTGCCTCTGAGGCCGATGCTGAAGCCCAGCGACTGCACGTAGTCGGCGGATGCCAGGAAGCGCAGTGTTGCGGGCTCAGTGCTGCGGAAACCGAAGGACGTGTGCCCCGTGTTGAACTCCACCTGGAGAGGTTTGCAGGCCGGAAAAAGGACAGGCAGGCAGGCACACGTATCCTTCTGTGGGAAAGGAAGGGGAGCGCTAGCGATACACGCGAATCTTGGCCCCAGCCATGGCCCGTCTCAGTCCACTTGGCGCCACAATGACTAAAACAGGTACCACTCTCGGTCAAGAGCTCTCACCGCAAGGCCAGGCCGGCCGGCCCGCAGCGCCGCAAGTGCATCCAGGACGGCCGCCACCTCCATGCGGCGCAACAAGCTCTCATTAATGTTGAGCCGCAGCGTCAGGGCTGGCGGTGCGAGCTCCACCAGCGCCGTCCACAGGTCGGTGGGGATGGAGGCGTAATATGACCAGAAGTCCAGGCAGTCCAGGGAGGGGGCGAGTGTGGGCAGCTGTGCGCGCAGCAGTGCGGCCACATCGCGGGGCTCATTGGCGCCGAATGCCAGTCGGCGAAGGCGAGGGTAGCGGCGGGACAGGGAGCCGGGCTCGGTAGGCTGCAGCTTAGCGATGTTATACCTGCATGGGTGTATGCGTGCATGGTTGGGGTTTGCGTTGGCTGCTGTTGTTTTCGTGTTGTGGCGGTTGTGGTCACAGTGGTTGGGGTTCTGGTGGTCATGGTAGTGGTGCTTTGCATGCCGTGTCGTCGAGGCGGTGGTGCCTTGGGAGGGGGCTCATTTGAGGGTCGGGGGCGACTTGGGTTCCTATGTACGGAGGTAAACTGTGTGGCTGGCAATGCACTGCGGGAAAGGGTTAGCTGCAGGATGTACGTGCGCTGAACCTTTCCCGGGGTTCTGGTGTCTGCGTTGATATCACTTGGCAGGTTGGTTTAACTGGGATGTTTTCCAGGGACCTTAGGTTCCGTATACCGGGTGCTGAAACTTTTGCTGGAGCCCCCTGAGCAGCATATCGATTGTGAGAAGTAAAACGACCCAAGGTATAACACAAATTGCTAAGCATTCCAAACTCCGTGCATGTCGCAGCAAGTCGATGCCTCGTCACCTGTTAATGGTGATGCTGCTCACGTGGGCGTCCACCTCTGCGCGCAGTCGTTTGCAGCAAACACGCAGCAGCTTTCGCGTGCTCAAGTCCAACCGCAGCAGCACCGTCGACGGCAGCAGGATGCTGTCAAAGAGTCCAAGGAGGTCAAAAGAGGTGGAATCCTCATCCTGTGGATAAGCATTCTCTGCGGTTTCAGTCATCCCTGCATGCCGGATTTTTAACGAACTGTTACTGATCAGGCTTGTATTGAAGAAATACTTGTACTCCACCACATGGGGACCATTTTTATATACATGGCATTTTTCCATAGGCATTTATCCAAATAAGGCTGCGGTTGGGACTGTTACGTGCTTAGTAGTTAACTTACTTGCCCCTGTCGAAATGCACCATCAAATGCAGAACTAAGTGCTGATCAGATTAACGCCTATGGCGACTACTGCAATTCAATCTTCGAAGTACTTCGCGGTGGATGTCGAGTGCGTTGCGACGGGGACGGACCACAATGCGCGCTCAGTCGCGCAGGTGGCTATTGTGGATGAACACATGAATTTGTTACTGGTGAGGCTAAGGGGGCCTCGCTGATAATGTTGGCGGCGCTAAGGCGTGCAAATTGCCTCGTTAGCGAGTGCTGGGAAGGCGAAAGCCGCTGTCTACTCATCGTCGTCCTCCCAAAGGATTACAGATATTTGTTGGGTGATAAGGATTTTTATACTAACAGACTACAACGAAAACGAGCGTGATCATCCAACGGTCAGCAAGCCCGTGTCAAACGGCGCGTGTTTTCACCCTGACACGCTGCTCTGGTCCCTTCACCTATGTGCATCGGATGCGTTGTAATAATTGCTTCGTGGCAGAACACATACATAAAGCCGGAGCTGCCAGTTGTGTCGTACCTTACACCACTAACGGGACTCACGGAGGAGCTGCTGCGGGAGCGCGGGGTGCCGCTGACGCAAGCCCTAGCTTCTGTACGTGCCGTACTACCTCGGGATGCCGTACTCATTGGCCAGAACATCCGCCAGGACGTGGTATGGCTGAATTTGAAGGAGGGTGTCGACTTCGAGAGCATGCAAGACCTGCAGGGCTTGTACCGCGTGTGGAACGACAAGGTACCCACAGGCTACCCACACACCCTGTCATGTTTTCACTTTTCCTGGAGTTCCTGATCTCCGGCCCCTTACTCCCGTTCATCTCGCACGCAATGTTGCCCGTTGCTGAGTAGTGTGGATCCGCTGGATACCTGTTCCGAAACCAACAACAACCCACGATCGTGACCGTGCCCTTCATTACATTACAGTTTCGGAGCTTCTCGGTGTTCGCGCAGTCGCACCTGGCCCGCGTGCTGCTAGGCTGGCGGGATGCCGAGGGACCCAATGAACACGATGCGGCGGAGGTGAGACCCACATAACCACCTTTCTGTTGGGAACCCCCACTCACTGCCCCTTGCCTGCCTCGCCCCCGTACAACGTGGTGCGATATGGCGTTACGCGATCGGCGAGGGTCGCGAGCGGGTCTGCAGGCCCAGGGGGAGGGATTGCGATGTCGGAGCCTATGGCAGCCGGCGCATTCCATCCCACCCCGGCCCACCCAGCCCCAACCCAACCTCGTGATATGGCAGTCTGTGTCGCTCGCAGTGCGCCTGCACCTCCAGCCAGATGTGCCACGTTTGGTACTGCTGTTGGGTACTGCAATTGCAGAGGGCCTCTGCGCCACTTGTCCCGTTTCTCTTTCCTTTCTTTTGATGTACGACACGTCCCCTGCATGTTTAATATGTATTCCCTTCTCCTCCGGCTTCCCTCCCGGCTCCCTCTGTGCGGCCGGGCGGCCCCAGGACGCCCGGAAGTCCATGGCGCTGTTCAACCACCACCGCTTCAAGCTCCTGCCCGACCCACAGGCCATGCGGGCGGCGCACGGAGCCCTATTGGCGGGCCCCGTGGCGCCCTCCTTCGCCAAGCGCTACGCCACATTTGAGGGCGTGTGCATGGGCAATCGGAAGACCTGCACCTGCGGGGCGCCGTTCTTCGGGTAGCTGAAGGGATATCGGGGCACGACTCTTCGTTTCGGTCGCTCCTTTGATAAATGGCACATGGGCCATTGGGAGAGCGGTGTTCGTGCTATTATCACGTGCTATCTCAAGACGGTACGAGCGGGTGCGTTATCCGTATCAGATACACGGGTTACATGCTCCGCACAAGTGTGGGGTTGGCATGCGTAAAAGCTGGTGGGGGCCGCCCATGGACTTCAATTGTCAAATTGTTTTGGCGCCGAGTGGGGATGCGGTACGGTGCGGTCAGGCTGTAGCTTCCCTGCTTCTCTGCTTGCCTCCCGCAACGATGGCGGCGGCGGCGGCAGTTGGCGCTTTTTAGTGGGTATCGCGTAAGGGCTGGGCGGGCCGCTTTGAGGGGGTAGCAGCATCGGGTTGGCACAATAGTGTGTAGTCCTGGTGGCGATTTGGTAAGCCACACATTAGGTCTTCCAAACAAGCAAGTACGGTTATGCATGATTGGCTGGTCCGCGACTTCATAGTGATCGCATATGGTTTGTGAAAGGTGAATCTGTTCATATGGAGACTTCGGATAGGGAGGCGAAATTACACACAATTAGCTAATCAATTACATGCCTGTCTGCGCTGATTTGGGCCGATCGTGGGCTGAAACACCAACAGCTGCAATAGAACAGAACCGTTGCAGAACGTGCACCGGGCGCATCGATGGTCGCACCGCATGCGACTTTTTTGCTTGTTTATGCCCACGCAGCATTATAGATCTAGCACATGCCAGCATGCACAATTATCACAGGCAATAGCACATTTACTGCCAGGCAACGTACACAAAAGTCAACTGTTCCGGTGCCGGTAGCACTTCAGCGGCGGCAACCTGGCGGCCTTTGTTTAATAGTAAAACCGCTGCGGAACTATTAGGGGAAATCGCTAAGGGGTTAGCTTATCATGAATTATTCTTCCAAGGCTGATCCAACAGCAATAGATAAATAAAGTTCAGGCTCAGGCCTGCATGGCGCTCGATTGTGCTTAGTTCGCAAAATGACTAAGTAATACGACAAATTACGAGGCAATCCTCAACATGCATGCCATAATGAATGAATCGTGCTAGAGCGAATCCTAAAGGCTCATCAGTTCATGGCCACGACCCCCCGCACTCAACCTTAAGCGGCGTGAGCTCCGGGGAAAAGGCGCAGGGCCTAATCCATTACGAGAGCAGCGAAAGGGCACCAGCAAGTGGTGCAGGCGGGCAGCAGTAAAAAGCGCGATGCAATGCGTGCCGGGAGGGGCTAGTCGTTTGGAAACGCACAGCGTCGGCGGGGAAGTTGCAGACGTTGGTTGGTGCACGTGAGTCCGCACGCAAAGCTATCTAGTGAAACAGTACATAAGTACTGCAGCGGTTGTACTGGAAGGACAACGCGCATTAGCCCTCCACTACATGAATGGCATTATTTGCATTGTGAAGGGATGAATAATAGTTGTATGTCGAAACGCGACCAATTGCCATAGACATAAACCCGACCACCCACCATATTTAACAAATACATATCACCTCGCCAGCGCTCAGGAGTACCTATTCCATCTAGCCATGCCCCCAGCGGATCGCGAAAGGGGTCAGGCTCTGTATCCAATGCGTGGGTGAGTCATTCCGTTGGGATCCTCGCCGCTCACGCAGTGGCCAATGCAATTTTGTGTCTGCATGCATGCATGCAGTACAAATTGATGAAGCGACGAATGCGGCTTGCTGCGGCATGAAGCAACCTGCTGCTTGTGCCTATCCTGATGGGAGTCCTGGATGATGTCCTGGCAATGGCCAATGTGCAGAGAGCATGTCTCAACCGTCGCAAATACGAAAGTAAAATAGTTAGAGAGTTCCGGGCACTTCCTCTCCATGAGCAATTGTCGATATAAGACCCTCTCGTCATTCCGTATGATGTGTGAAACAGGGGGACACATCTTCGCCCGTGGCAGCTACCCTGCGAAACCCTGCCTTCCCCGGTATTTCGGGGCACCCTCATCCAGTCACCCTAGTCAACTTCTCAGTGGATCGCTCAGGTTCCGCACCCACCACCAGCATCCAACGGAATCTGCCGGGTCGACAGCGGCCCAACTCCGTTCCTGGTCGGCTCGCAGGTTAACTTTATCCCAGGTCACCACTGTCCACCAACTAAGGGCGCAATGCCTTCCACCATCGGAAGGACTTTGACCCTAATGGGTATCCATCCCGAGATCTCCCGGGGGCAATGATCGCGCCTTACCAGTAGTGCCAACCCCTATATGTATGTGTGTGTGTGTGTGTGTGTGTGTGTGTGCGATGGAGGATCATGCATCATGTCACGCCGCATGCGCATGCGACACATATGCATTTGACATCTAGGAAACTACACACAGACATGACAGCTAGCTCATCGTGAAATGACGTCATCCTTTTCCATACTTAAAATCGCCACATTATACACCAATATTTCGAGCACATTTGCCGGATCAATCTACGATCCAACAGTCATCATAGTACATAGGGCACCATGTGCGATTGAGCAGGAACCGAAAACGACGAAAACAGTTGTTGTATCGACTAAAACCGCAAACGAGATGAACATGAAAACTGGAACAATAACATATAAGCAACATCTTCAGCGATGATGGCATCTCCTCCAAAGTACCTCGGTCCTCCCTCCATATTGTCTGCTGCTTCAGGCCTATTGCAGGCTGGCAGGCATGCGCGCCTTTGGCGTGGTCGCGGCATCCGTCGCGTCCCCAGTGACAGGGGCTGGGGACGTGCCGGGAGGCGCTACCACGTGCACAGCTGCAGGGGCACCCTCGGCCGCTGCGGCCTTGGTTTGATCGTGATCTGGCACTTGCTCAATCTCCGCGCTGTCCACCTTACTGCCAGTGCTGCCAGTGGCCATGTTCGATGGACTCGTGACAGTGGTGTCTGAAGGGTGGTTGGTGGTTGGCTGGCCAGGTGTCAGCTGTGCTGGTGAGCGCGAGCCACCAACCGAGCCACTGGCAGTGGTCGCGATGGCGCCACTGGCAGCGGCTGCCACACTGACAGATGCACCCGGGGCCAACATGGCCTCCCCTTCCATGGCGTCGACTGCGGCCACTGGTGTACGCGGTGGAACAAGCGGTAGGCTGCTATGTGGCATACGGGCAGTGGAGGCGAGTGGACCGATAAACTGCGCTGGGCTCAGGGGGGTTGGTCCGGCGGCCAACACACTGGCACGCGGCGAAGTGGGGTTCTCCTCGGGCCCCTGCACGGGTACCGCAGCGACGCTAGCTGGTAAAGCTGCGGCACGCTCTCCAGGCGTCTCATAGGCGGGGTTGGTCGCCACGAAGGCCTGGCGTGTACTCGCACTGCCAGGCCGGCCGGCCGCTGGAGGTGACGACATGGAGCTGCTGACCTCACTGGTGCTCGGTGAACCACTTGGCAACACGGGCAAGGGCCCCTTAGCACGACGCCGAACCACAAAGACAGCCACAACTGCTGCCACGAGAAGGCCGCAAACCACACCAACTACGATGCCCACAATATACATTGGTGTAGCGCCCTTGCTCCCATTTCCACTTCCAGTACCGCTATTGCTACTGCTTTCACCAGTAACAGTACTGCTGCCGCCACTACTAGCACTGCTGCCACTGCTACCAGTGCTGCTGCCACCAATACTGGGGCTGCTGCCACCAGTATTAGTACTGCTGCCACCACCACGTGATGGAGATGACTCTCCATTTGCTGGAACCTCTGTGCTGCCCCAAATGATGCTTGGTGGAGGTGGTAGATTGGGGCTAAGTACAATTTGATCTGGAGGTGGCGGACTGGAAGCCGCCGGTGGAGGTGGCGGACTGGAAGCCGCCGGTGGAGGTGGCGGACTGGAAGCCGCCGGTGGAGGTGGGGGACTGGAAGCCGCCGGTGGAGGTGGGGGACTGGAAGCCGCCGGTGGAGGTGGGGGACTGGAAGCCGCCGGTGGAGGTGGGGGACTGGAAGCCGCCGGTGGAGGTGGGGGACTGGAAGCCGCCGGTGGAGGTGGGGGACTGGAAGCCGCCGGTGGAGGTGGGGGACTGGAAGCCGCCGGTGGAGGTGGGGGACTGGAAGCCGCCGGTGGAGGTGGGGGACTGGAAGCCGCCGGTGGAGGTGGGGGACTGGAAGCCGCCGGTGGAGGTGGGGGACTGGAAGCCGCCGGTGGAGGTGGCGGACTGGAAGCCGCCGGTGGAGGTGGCGGACTGGAAGCCGGTGGAGGTGGCGGACTGGAAGCCGGTGGAGGTGGCGGACTGGAAACCGGTGGAGGTGGGGGACTGGAAACCGGTGGAGGTGGCGGACTGGAAGCCGGTGGAGGTGGCGGACTGGAAGCCGGTGGAGGTGGCGGACTGGAAGCCGGTGGAGGTGGCGGACTGGAAGCCGCCGGTGGAGGTGGCGGACTGGAAGCCGGTGGAGGTGGCGGACTGGAAGCCGGTGGAGGTGGCGGACTGGAAGCCGGTGGAGGTGGCGGACTGGAAGCCGCCGGTGGAGGTGGCGGACTGGAAGCCGGTGGAGGTGGCGGACTGGAAGCCGGTGGAGGTGGGGGACTCGAAGCCGGTGGAGGTGGCGGACTGGAAGCCGGTGGAGGTGGCGGACTGGAAGCCGGTGGAGGTGGGGGACTGGAAGCCGGTGGAGGTGGGGGACTGGAAGCCGGTGGAGGTGGGGGACTGGAAGCCGGTGGAGGTGGGGGACTCGAAGCCGGTGGAGGTGGCGGACTGGAAGCCGGTGGAGGTGGCGGACTGGAAGCCGGTGGAGGTGGGGGACTGGAAGCCGGTGGAGGTGGGGGACTGGAAGCCGGTGGAGGTGGGGGACTGGAAGCCGGTGGAGGTGGGGGACTCGAAGCCGGTGGAGTGTCCGGCGGTGATGGAGATGGTGGACTAGGTACCGTTGGACTGTCTGGTGGTGGGGGTGGAAATGTAATTCCAGCAGTGCTCCAGTCTGCTGTCGGCACGCCAATGGGCTGGATGCCAAGAGTGCTGGTTGCATTTGGATCCGTGACCGCTGTTACAAAAGCATTGTATGCTGCAGTCAGGTCTACCGCTACAGCCGAGGATGGCGGGGGTGTGGACGGTGGTGGTGTGGACGGTGGTGGTGTCGACGGTGAGGAGGTATCGGAGGCACTGCTGGAGTTGGCTGCAGTGATGGCTGGGTCAGTGACGACAGGGTCAGTGGGATCCACAGCGGCCGAGACTGTATTATCAAGCAATGGATCGACGGGAATGGACTTATCTGGTTCGAGGCCAATCGTGGCGCTTACGGAGCCAGCCACAATCTTCGCCACATAGAGACGGTTCATATCAATACCCATTACAGCTGCGAGGTTCTTCAGGAAGACCGCCTGCTGTGCGTAGAAGTTGTCAATCGTTACAGCGAAAGACTGTGAAACCTGCGATACATAACATCATCATTTGTGGATACAGTCGTTAGAACCAGTCAGACTGCAGGCTGCTCCATGGCTGCCGTACTGCAGCAGTGAAACCCATTGTACCCGTTGCATCCTCCCGACCCAGGCAAATCTCGAGGACTACATTTGCATGAAGTGATACAACTTACCTGCCTAGCACCCAACCTAGCCAGGTGCAATCCAGCAAAAGCGAGAGCCAGCCCTGGTGTACACAACCTGCTACCCTGTGATCCAGCATGCCCCACAGCATGTCCTGGGCCCCACTCACCATCACAGCGCTCTCAGTGCGTGTCTCAACCGTCATGCCACCCTTGATCTTTACATACAGCAGCGCGTTATCTTGGTCCCAGAAGTACGACCCGTGAGGTGTGCCATCACCAATTCTTATAGGCTTGTCCAATGGCATCACTCGGCCCGTGGTGTTGCCATTACCAGGCGGCAGCCAGGTGAAGCGACGGTTAAGGGTGTAGAGCATATTGATAACCAAGACAATTTCCTTGTCGGGGTCTGCGTAGGGAAACCAGATGCGGAAGCTTTGTGAAGGCGTCCTTGTGAAGTTGATGTACACTGTCTGCCCAGTTGGCACGTAGGTCCAGAAGGTTGACAGCCGCTTCTGACATGTGTACGCAAAGCACCAGCCATGATCCATGGCTGCCGTCACCAGGTCGATTGAGCCAGACACGTTGAAGAATACAGGGCCAAAGTTGCGGTCCTCAGTGTCTTTGTCACGGCTCTCGAGCACTAGCATCTGCGGGTCGCCCCAAATGCCATCCGCTGGCACAGGGTCAGGCTTGTATCTTAGGTCCAGGCCAGCCTCCGCTATGTATGAGGTCGAGTTAACGACGCACTGATACGAATCCTGATACTCAGAGTATGTGCATGCCCCAGGCAGCACGGGTGAGCCCTGATCCATTGGGAACACACGTTTGGACGTGAAGATGCCCGCGGTGGTGCTGACGGTGCCGGTAAGTGAGCCATCCAGATCCCGCCAGTAGGCGTGTGCCGGACCGGCACAGTTAAGCTTGATCTGGGAGCCGTCGGGCCGCGTATAGACCGCCTCTCCACAGTCCGCCTCGTTGCGCCAGTCAGGGTCGGGCGGGGTGTGATAAAACATCCCCTGGTTCACCCTGCAGAGAGATGGGCCATGGGTGAAAGGCAGGTAGGGGGCATGGGGCCAAGGCGACGTTTTTATGGATGTTGCCATGTGTTCAGTGTGTGCATAGCTGGGGCTATAGCTGGGGCTATAGCTGGGGCTATAGCTGGGGCTATAGTTCAGGGCGTCGGGAGCTGGTACAGGCTGGTCTGTTGACTAACCGAACAGTGAAGATGTTTTAGTCTCTCTTTGCAATGTTCAGTCACAGGCAAATCAAAGTCCGCTAGAGTCGTCCTGTCATTCTCCTTACCCAGTGCTGACGTTTTGGACGTTAATTTTGGAGAAATAGTGCGGATAGAAAGCTTCTGGCGCCTTAGGCTGGTTCGCCAACGCATAAGTGCCGCTTTGTGAGCCTCCGCAGCCCGCGGGGCCCAGAAAGTCCGCCAAGGTGATACCGCTGATGTTGAACATGCCCTGTGGTTTGAGGTCCGTGGTTAGTTAAGGGGTTTGCCTGAGAAGCCATAGGCATCAGACAGTCTGGCCCTGAGACAACTGAAACACCGTGCCAAGCCGTTGCCAAAGCTATTCCTAGCGAGTGAAGCACAGGAAGGCGCAGTGTTGTCGCCCCAACCTTTCCATGACTCACATGGATTAGTGAGTAGCCCATGGGCTTGTCGAACGGCTTCTTCTCGGGGCCCACCGCAAACCCCAGTGCAAACTGTGACGACTGCAGGCCAACTGCTGGTGTGAAGGGGTCATACTGATTGAATGACTGGAGGGACATCTTAGGGTGGCAGCCAGGGTCACCTCGCTTCGTGCAGGCAGAGCAGACATCATTGCTCGACTGGCCAACAAGGAGGCCACCGTCCCAGCGCATCCAGCCCTTGTCGGTCATTTCACCATAACGCATTAGATGGATGCCCGCGTGCTTGGTGTCCAGGATATTGACGTCCTTCAGGACAATGTCCGTCGAAACTCCGTGGGTGGAGATGATACCGAAGTCTGTCAGGCGAAGGGTCCAGCACAGACGACGGCATCACGTCAATCCAGCGGCCAGCTACTTTTGTGGCGAATAAGGGAACAAAATGAGATCAGTCGAACAGAACCGTTGAGAAAACGAGTTGTGGCCGAGTTTATGAGATGTGTCTGCGTGTTTGCGTGCGTACATCTATAAAATTCACCCTCCTGCCGGTTTCTACAACACAATACCATGCAACCTTGCATGGTCTCCTTTCCTCGCCAGCTGGCCGATGCTCAGCCTTGCACTTACCCCAGTTCATGTATGTGGTGAAGTTCGTCAACTGTGCACAACCCTGGAGGAGTGCCTCGGGACTGGCTTGAAACCACAGGCCGGCAAGGGATGAATGGGCCGTGTTGTTGCGGAAGGAGCCATTTGTGAAGTTGCTGCACGGTAAACCGTAGTACGCAAAGCCGTAGCGTTCCGAACCAGCTGCCACGTTGTCAGTGACCCAGTTAGATGCGTACACGATGCGGAAGGACGACGGCATCCTAACATCATTACCACTCCTTTCAGTCATATTCTTAATGGTGCCGATCACGAGGTTGCTGCGGATAACGTTGTCCCTGTCGTCACATAGAAGAAAGGCATATTTTCATTTCATGATCCGACTACTACTGCATTAATACAAAGCAAAGCAATCCTCTTCTCACCTTGTTTGTACGTCTACACTGTGTTTGTCGAACGCTTCGTACATGATGTTGTCGGCCAGGGTGACAGGGCTCGCAACTGAGGGGTTGCCATAAATGAGCACGTTCGAGGCCATACCATACAGCAGCACGCTGCCTTTAACAAATGATGGATTTGGAACTGCGGATACCGTTGTAATTTTGGTGACATTGTCCGTACGCATCACTGTAACTGGCGCCATGCGGTCAAAGTATATGCACGCGCGATCGTCAAAGCCAGCCTGGCCGCAATAAGCCATACCCATACTGTCAAAGCGGCCTGTGGAGTTGCCCGAAACCACTACGCGTGCACCGAACATTTCTCCATTATACGAGTGGGTACTCTCGCCATCATCCGCAGTAATGAGGACGTTGGAAGAGACCAGGCCAACCTCCGCGCGCATATCCACGGTGGGGCCGCCGGGATAAGCTTTGACCCGCGCCCCATGGGGGTGGGCCAGCGGCGAGTCCAGCAGCAGCTGGGAGCCGTTGTTGCGGATCCCAGTGATGATGCGGAACTCGCTTTGATTCCAGTTAAACGAGGTGGAGGTAATCAGGATCTTATCACCGACACTCCAGCCGTGGTTGGGGTCCGATACATTAATGGCATTGTTGCCAATCTGTGCCGCGGATCCTAACTTGATCCAGCGCTTACGGGCCTGCATCCACAGAGCACACAAGGTTGCGGGTCATAATATGAAAAGGGGGATTATGGATTACAGTTAAGCAGGCCCTTAATTTCCATAAGATTAGGAAAAACGTGAACTTTACTTTGCTTCACATGTACAGCAGAAAACCAGGGAATCTGGAAATCACACGCACAGCGAGATATCTGGGACGAAACTGTCATCACGAAGAGGGGTTAACCTAAAGCACGGCAGGGAAACGGGTGTCCAGGCGATGTCCTAGACCTGACCTGGCCGTAACTGTGCTCAGCCATGCAATAAAAAGTTTGCCGCGTATGGAAATACACCCACCGGTTTGCCGTACAGGTTGATTGTGCCTCCTGCAAGAGCTGCCAGCACCTTGGAGCCCAAGTTGAAGTTATTATCAATGCCATAGTCGGGTGTGTCGCGAGCACCCTTCAGCCGAATAGTGGCCTTGGCGGGGTGCGGCTCCGTGGCGCTGCCAGCGCTCAGCACACCCTGGCCCATGACAATAATATAGGTAGCGGTCAGGTTGATGTCCCGCGTGGTGTCAAAGCGTAAATTGCCCTGAACGGTCAGCGCCAGCAGCGGCGGTGTTGACTCGTCAATGACCAGGTCCCAGCCGTACGGAATGGTGACGTTGTCGCCAGCTACTGGTTTGCGGAAGTTGTTCACGGCGCTCGTGTTCCAGGTGCTGGTGTTAGACCAGTACAATGTGTTGTTGCGTGTATCCACAACGGCATCGGGTACATTGGTGCACCCCGTGTTAGGGCAGGTGAATGCCTTCATGTCGAGAGCAGTATCGAGGCGCCCATCAACGAAGACCGTAAACTTGGTGTCGTAGTACGAAAGATTACTCCACCACCAGGAATTAGGCGCCTTGGTTTTGTTGTAGTAGAACATGCCGTGGGTTGAGTTGGTGGGAGGCGGCATCGCGGTCAAGTTGTTCCACTGGTCGTTGTTATTGATTGAGAAGTGGTCCTTGACCTGAATGTGCTTTGTGGTAATGTACACGTAGTCACTCGTGTTCATCAAGTCCATCTTGTGCAGCCTGGAGAAAGGTGGTCATCGGGTTGGAGGGTAACCAGTTAGTTATGCCATGAAATCTCAGTTTGATGTAGGAAGATTTTCAGGTATGTTACCCCACGTACAGTGCCCAGCGTGGCTAACGGCATTCTGCACACAGGAAGTTTCAGACAACTTGCTGTTGACGCAGGTCATCATTACGCGTCAATCACTTCCGAGACCGACCCATGCCCACCATGCCCGGCTTCCTTTCACCCTGCTATGCTCACTCGTATGTTTCTGGATCCACCCGGAAAGGCATGTCCCACTGCACCCAGTAGTCGCGGGCAGTGGCGATTGTGAACTGGTAGCCAAACTCGTTATACTTGGTGAAGTGCACAAGAGAGGAGCGATTGGTGGCCACCGACGTGAGGATGAGGTCCTTGATCCCGATGGACTGCGTGCACGCGGCGTTGGGCGCAAGCACAGCACGCAAGATATGTTGGTCGCTAATAAAGCGTGGAGGCAGGGCTCCCTCGCCCAGAATGAGCACCAAAGCAAGCAGCCAGATCCGGCTAGAAAGGACTAACAATGGGCTCCCGGAGGCATCTCCTCAGGGCGCATCCTAACCTGTAAAACGACGCGCCTGTTGTGCGGTGTTTCATTCATAACCTACCTGGGGTGTGTGGTCATGAAGCATCACGCGGCGGAACGACAAGCCGGGGCTGCAATATGCTCCGTTGTTGCTTGTGCGTGTGTTCCGCACATACTTGCATTCGTTGGGATCAAACAGCTCGCTTTCGACCGACGAATGCCAGGTAGCCCCGGGGCCAAGAGTTACGTTGGTGCCCACATTAGGCAAGAGCGAAGCGGGCAGCGACTTGTTGTTCAGTAACGTGCCGTCTGTGTCAAGGTAGACGCCCTGGTGGCCCCAGCTCCAGTATGACATCATGGAGCTGCTGTTGTCTGATGTGATGATAGAGATGTTGGCTGTGAATGTGGTAGAGCCGCCCTGATGGTCCTTGCACTTGCCGCATGCCTCCAACATGGAGAATAGCGTGCAGTCATCCCAGCCCTTGAAGTCCACAAATGTTACGTTGATTAGGCTCATCAATGCAGAGTGCTTGGGGTCGCCCTTGACGGGACTCTGCGTAATGATACCCGCCACACGGCGGCATGAGGGCCACTGACCAGCACTACCGCGCTTTCCAACACTGGTGCGCGAGTAAATGGTAGCATTCACGATACCGGCCATCTCTGTGATCTGCACCCCCACACGGCTGCGGTCGTCGACAACCCATGACAATTCAAGATCGCCACCATGGTCCTTCCCGTTGACAACGTGCTGCTGGGGCCCACCACCGTTATCGCCTGCTATCACGTTGACAAGCTGCACCATGCCAACCTGTATGAGTGTGTGCAGGAACACCTCGTCGCTGCCTTTCCAACGGGTAACGATGCATGATTATGGATTGTAATAATACCTAGCCTACTTAGGTAAACTAGGGGGTTTGGCTATCGGATACTACACTATATACATTATACCCTATAAATAATTTTCATATATTATATATTACATCATATATATTACATTATACAGATATTATGTATATACACAGAAAAACATAAATGCAGCATGTGGCGATTTATATATGTTATAATATACAATAAGCAATATAAAACAATTATTATACATTATATGTTATATAAATATACAATATATATTATGTAATATATACAAATGGTATAAATATATGTATATATATACATGAAATATTTTGTATTCTCCGTGATGGGGGGAAAGATGGAACCCCTCGCTACCTGCCGTAAATAGTTCCTGCAGAGGATTTCGCGCATGTAAGCAATACGTCTGTAGCATCAATAGTCAAACCCTCCAGTTTACCTAAACAGGCTACATACAGTACGTGGACGAACTTGACTCGGATCGGGGTTATGCCAGTTCACACGCACGTGCACGCATTGTACGCATTAAGATTCTGGCATTGCTAAAAAGATAGCGTACAATCAAAATTCCAAAACTAATTGAAGATATTACGGGACATTGCTGCAGCTAGTACGGGACAACTCTTCAGCTGAGGAATTGTTTCTGCTATTCATCGATACTATCTAGTGGCTATGATCATACGATAAACGGCATTCGAAGGGCCATGCATATGAGGGTGCAGGACGATTGTCAACGGGGTCATCAGGCGCTAACCAAGCATGAGACTAGCAAAACGCGGCAATGGCACAACTCACTGCTGGATGTCTTTTTGCAGCGTACCTGAGTGCCGACGGCGCCCTTCATGCCGTTCTTATAGGCCACCAGGCCGTTAAACACCGCAGGCACTTGCTCAAATGTTCCAGAAAACCCGTTGCAGGGTACGTTACGCGGGTAGAACTCTGGGTGGATACGCAGTCCATAAAACATGCTCGAGTGGGCGGTGTTGTTGGTGAACTCTAGGAGGGGTGTAAACTTGGGGCAGATGGTCGTCGTGTATGACGGGCCCTCGGGATTATCCTGTAAAATGAACAGTAGCAAATAGCGGATTCCGTGTTTAGGAGGACTTGCGGGAGATGTCAATAGATGGGATCACATTTCTCCTCCTCAGAAATACAAGCAATTTCTATGGCAATACAAAACTACCGATTACTATGACACTGCAAAACTGGGCTGCCCCTTGCTGGAAAGCCTAGAAAGGTCTCCGGGATGAGACGTCGTACTCCCCACCAAACATCATCCGAACAATTTGACAAGTGCATGTGTACGCTGTGGGCTTACCAGCATGCGATACCAATACCCATAAGCCGCCGAACCAGCAGCCACGTTGTTGCGCACAGTGTTGTTTGGATTGGTAATCCAGAAAGCGGCTGGGCTGGTATCGGTGTTGAGCAGCGCGTCTGATACCTTGACATGAATGGCCAGGTTGCCTTCAATGAGGTTGCCAGACTCGATACCGTCCTGCAGTACATAGCGTCCTCCGTTTCACTAACCAAAATAGCTCGGAAGAGCGTGAGCGAGTCAAGCACAAATAAGTCCAATCCTTAGCATCCACAGCCAAGCTGCTGCTGTAGTAGCTGGCTGCTGAAAAGGCTGGCGGAGCACGTGGCGCGTATTTTTAGACGACATGCCCTACCAACTTATTGGGCCTTTCAACAAGGTTAATGTAGTAGCTCTCCGCTGAAAAGGCCTCTCAACTATGCTGGCGGACCGCCTTACTGCGCATTTGTAGGCGAAATATGTACCGGACTATGTATAGCTGCTGCAGCCAAACAGGGCCAAACAGATCGTAGCCGCCTACACAGAGCCTTAGCAGCCTGCCTGGCCCTGCGGAAAGCCCCAACGAGATGGTAGGGATGTGTGTCGCACTATCTACAGCTACCACAGGTGCTTGGAACGCAATCTAGCGCATATATGTATTGATGTGTGCCGTATTACTGTACGATAGCTACCACACGCCATTAATGGCGGTTTAAATATTTAAACCCGCAGCTCACCTCCAGGAAGAACGTGTGCCCCATGGTATGGTACGCCGTGACGTTCTGGATGATGGCGCGGTGCGTGCCGTGCACGGTGATAGCACGGTTGTATGTGTGGTGGATAGCGCAGCCACGAACCCATGTCTGCCATGCCACGTCTCCCATGAGGTGCCAGTGCATGGAGTAGCGTCCCAGGCGGAAAGCCTGGCCGGACTGCGTGATCTCAATGTTGTCAAAACGCACCAAGCCTTTATTAGTTAGGTATGACGGCGAATTAACCATGACTTGCACGCCATACATATTCTTGGCGCTGGTGTAATCACCCTGCAGCAAAATGTTACGTGTGAGCACGGCCACCTCAGCGCGCATGTCCAAGGGGGTAGATCCCTGCACGCTGTGCAGCTCTCCCAAGTGCACGTATTGAAGTGGCGTGTCTAGCGTAATGACGGTACAGCCAGACACGGTCCTGTTGTCGAGCGCTGTGATGGTTGCCTCATCCACCTCATTCCCGTAGAAGCTGCTGCTCGCGATGACGATGCGGTCGCCAACCTGGATTTCGTGAGGGATTGGCAAATGCATATATACATCAAGCCAAAGCGCAAGCATAGCGCCTGATATTCAGAAAGCCCCACATAGAGCAAAGCAATGTGACTACGTACTGCTCAATACTGAGGACAGATTCCTTACCATTACAGTTATGACGCAAGTATTGGGGTTCGCAATTATTTCAGCCCCCCTTAGTCGTACCTGCCAATTAATTGCTCCGTTGACGACAATGCTGGTGTCCCCTGGATCCGCCGTCCGGTTCAGCTTGGTATAATGCGGGATCTTGGGCTGCCCGAAGAAGGTGACGACGCCTTGCCGCACGGCCAGTGCCTTGGCGCCATACATCGGAAGATCCCTGCTATTTGGGGCCCCATGCATGGTAATGTTGGCGCGGCCGGGGTAGGGCTTCTCTGCGCTACCAATGGTGAAATTGCCCCCCTTAACAATGATGTAGTGAGCCTGCAGGTTAATGTAGTCCTTGGTATCATCAAAAACTAGGTTGCCTTCCAAGACAATCACATAAAGTTTCGGCGGGCTGATATCCAGGAGGACCGTCACGCCAGCTGGAATTACGACCGAGTCCTCGTAGCCGGGCAGGGGTCCACCACCCCACGTGCTGTTGCGGCTCCACACGTCGATGTACTGGTACTGAGCCGAGCTGCGTGCATAGCCACGGCCCTGCTGCAGCACCGTCACCGGCAGCGGAACTCGAAGGATGCTGTTGGGCGGCTTACCGGTAGTGCAGGTGATGGCGGTGCTGTTGACGACCACAACCGACTGGCAAGCGACATCGCCAATGCTGACAGTGGTGCTCACGCCGGTACGGAAGTCTGCGCCCGTAATAGTGACGGGTGTGCCACCTTCAGTGGAGCCGCGCGCCGGGACAATGCCGCTCACTGTCGACTCTAGGGCTGGGTCAAAAGTGAAAGTGAAGTTCGACAGGGTGGTCTCGTTGGTGCCGGCAGTGGGCGTAATTGACAGCGGCCACGTCACTGGGCTCACTGGCTTGGTGTCCAGGGGACCGGTAACGCAGGTCAGCGATGTAGCGGTGCTGCTGATGACCTTGCATGTGCTGTTGCCAAAGCGCACCGATACAAGCGTGGTGTTGGTATCGAACCCCTTGCCGGTAATGACCACGGTAATACCACCAGCACTCCCGCCAGTAGTTGCAGACATAGCACTGATGGTCAGGGGTATAGTGTAAGCAGGCAAAAGACCGCAGCCAAAAGGCTGGATGCACAGCCATAGCGTATAAGTCGCGGCTGGCATGTAAGCAGGCATGGTGCAGGAAATCGCCTCGCGATAGGTGGTGCTGGTGATGTTGAAATCCGTGACAACTGGGTTGCGGCAGGGCAGCACCGTCGGCCCGACCTCAAACTCAACCGTGGCATTGCTGGCGCCGTTCTTAGCAGCCGGTGCCGTGATAATGTTGTTTAGCGTGCCAACTCCCGATAAGTACCAGGTCAGCGACAGGGTTGCACCAGCGTCGGGTGGTGCAGATGAAGGCGTCACGCCAGACAGGGCGGGCGTGCGGCCACCACAAAAGTAGAGGAGCTCAATGCTCGCAGTCGCAGCGTATGTGCCGTTGCTCGTGTAATATACCCGCGGCTTATACCGCAAGTTGACTCCGCTGATACTGTTGTTACCGGCGAAGGCTTCAGGATTAGGCACCTTGAAGCGTGTCAGCCCAAATGATGCAGTGAAGCCGTCGCTTGCCAGCGGCACAAGATTCAGGCGTGACGAGTTGACAGCCTGGCACGGTGGCGAGTTCGAAAAGCCTGAGCCACAAAAGACGGTTTCCCACGCAGCCGTCATGTTGACTTGAAGTGTCGTATCGACCAAGTCCTTCACAAACCCATACCCGGTGATGTTGAAGGTGCCGCCACCAAACAGGGAGAAATAGCACTTGGAGTTGGGGTTGTTAAAGGTGTAGCTAAGAACCCTGACCGTATAGGTTACGATTGGCAAGTCCGTCGCAGCTGTCGCTGTGGGGCGTGTAAGACCCAGGCCCTCAACCATAATACTAACAGGCCACTGCCCAGCCGGCAAGGCGGGCGCCGTGCAGTTGATATTGGTTGTGTTGGTGCCGTTGACCGTCACCGGTGCGACACCAACAATGCTGCACAGCCGGTTGGCCAGAGTGACGCTGATCTGGGACGCGGCGGGTAGGCTTGGGTCCGTCAGGAAATCGCCAAAGATGCTCAAGGTTGTGTTGGTGCTGTTGAAGGTGGGCTGCATGATGCCACTCAACGTAATCCCGCTCAATGCTGACAGTGACGGTGTGCGATAAACTGAGTACACATAAGAGCATGTTCTGTTGGGCGTCTGCACCCACGACGGCTCAAACGGCGCCTTCGGCTGGCCTGGCAGAACAAGTGTCAGGTTGGTGACGGGACACTGTGTCACGGAGTCAATGCCGTTGACTGTAAGCTTGACTGGCAGTGGCGTTCCTGGAGGTACCGGTGTAACCTTCTGCCACTCCAAGTAAGCGAAGGGTCCGCGCGCTCCATTAGGTTGCCTTCTCGAGATCACCACAGAGAGATAAGCCCCACCATTATACTCCACGTGCGTGACGACCAATTTGCGCAGGCCAGGGTACAGAATCGTGTCCAGTGGGGTATTGCGACCGCCAACCAGGACATCGTCGATGTAAAGGCGTGCATCATCATCAGCATACATGTAGAAGGTCACGTTCTCCGTTACAGAAATCTGCACAGCAGTGTAACGGTCACGTACACAATTAACTTATATGAGTCCTTGCAGTAGGATTCTGACCCAAGCAGTGCAAACAGACCTGGTAGTAAAAGGTAAAGCGAGCAGCCCAGTAATCAAAGTTGATCACGCCCGGCTCTGGCGACATGGTACCCCACGAGAAAGATGTCCCTTTCTCAATCCGGGAAATATCTGCGTGCGAAGTATGGCAGCGGTCATCGTCATCAGCGAACAATCATTGGAGTACGTGGAAGAGAAGAGGATTTTGAGTGCTGAGCCAGGCGACGCATGAGCTAACGCATTTGATGGGTATGTAGCGCTCGAAGTACGAACAAAACCCAGTCCAGCTTAATGCATGCTTGCAGAAACACGTCATGCCCGCATGCGGCCCTAGTTCCAGTAAGCAAACCATAGAGTACCCCGTAGCATAACAAAGATGTATAAGCTTACGGGGCTTTGTGAAGCTGAAGATGTCGGGCATGGAGGATGTTGACACTCCCAAATTCCAGTACTCAGCAAACACGTAGCCGTTCATGCCTGGCGCACGACAGGTCACTTCCGTGCGGTTCTTGACCGACAATATGGGGCAAGGTAAGTCAGCAATCGTTATCGCATTGGCGGTCAAGTTGTCCGGACCGACGGCCAGGCCGGCGCCGCCAACTGAAAGCACCAGCGGCAGCCCACCCGCAAGCGACCCCACATTCCTGGTTAATCTGTCGATTGAGGCCGTAAAGGTAAAGGTACCTTTGCCATACGGATCCACGGACTTCTCGCCGTTCGCCTTGAGCAGGAGAATCGTGTAAACACCCGGTGGCAGATCGGGAGCATCGCAGGACACGTTCGTGCGGCTTGAGATAATGTTACTCCCGGCGCCCTTGAGCACGCCACCCTGCAGGAACTGGACCTCGGTCACCATGTTAAGGTAGCTGCCCACGACTGTGATGCGAGTCCCCAGGCTCCCGCTGCTCGGGTACAGATAGTCCACAGCAGGTGTCAGCTCGGTCGAGTACCTGTTTGCAGAGAAATGGACCACGTAAAGATGTTTTTAAGTAAGGAAATCTAGGCCACTAGCCACAAGCGATAGATGACTTACCCAAAATTACATGTGGCGGCACCTGCTGCATCGCACCGCGCCCGGGCCGTCTCTGGCAGTGACCAGCAATACTCCTGCAAGAAGCTTGAGTTGTAGCTGGAGTCGCAGATAACAACGGAAACCGCGCGTCCAGGGGTGGTGTCCACGGGCATCACTTGCTTGGCAAAAGGATCATTAGCGCTCGCGTCAGCGGCCAGGTTTGGAAGCGTCTTGCACGTCAAGGTGGTTGATGTGACCGATGTTGCTATACATTGGACAACACCGTTAAGAAATGTTGTCGAAACTGGAACGGTAATGAAAACGACATTCTCCGATACCACTTGGCTGAAACCCGAACCTGTGATGGTAAGGGTAGTGCCGCCGCCGATGCTTCCCAGATTGGGTGAGACACTGGTGATGAAGAGCTCGAAAAGGATAGTATCGGACGACAATAGCTGCAAGCCCGAGGACAGAACTGCGAGGATGTGGTAACGGCCGTTGCGCAGGGCCGGGCTGATGCACGTCAAGGTGCCTGAGCTGCCTGCTGTGACGTCAGTGCACGGTATTGGCTCTTGGAAGGCTACCGAGGCCTCCGTGTAGTTGGTGAAAGAGGAGATGAACGGCACCATGGACGCGGAGATCACCTGGCTTGCTGTCGCCCCAGTAAGAGACCATGTGATTACACCGCCTGCACCCGGCAGGCGTGCAGGTGATACAGTGCTGATGGACGGTGCTGAGCTTGAAACGCTGACTGTCAGGCCGGAGGGTGTATCTGAATCTATTAACTGCCCTTTTTCGTAGACCTCCGCCGTTACGGATGCTGCGGCGGCGTTCGCCCCATTGTTGCCAGGGTAAATTACCGTCAGCATATTAGGCTGGCATTTGATGATGCTGCATCGCACGCCCCCGATGGTCAGCTTGTTGTTCGCGCAATCAACGTAGTCGAAACCCTTGCCTGTGAAGTTCAGCACCGATATGCCCGCGGAGGACAGTACGGCCGGCGAGGGTGCAGAGCCAGTCACGTAGAGCGTCTCCAGTGTGACATTTGGAGCGCCGTCCGCGAACCCCAGGCCAGCCACGTTCACTGAAACAAGCCGGACGCCAGCAGGCGCCGTGTCTGGGACGTTGCAGGTGATCTGGGTCGCAGTGACTGATGTCACATTGCACAGCGCCGTGCCCACCCGGACCTCCACACTGGGGCCACTGCTGAAACCAGAACCAGTAATGGTAAGGGGCAAGCTCGCCTGGCTGCTGAATGCGAGTCTAGTTGGTGATACGCCTGTGATGCGTGGGGTGGCAGCATCAGAGTACAAAAACCCACAGATGCCGCTTGCATCCGCACAAGCCGATGGCACGCCGTTGACTTGCAAGTTGATGGTCCCAGGTTGCGAAACAGCCAGGCGCAGAAACTCCGTCGGGATGGGCGCGTAGAAGGCGTCAGTGGTGCCATTCCACACAGTCGTGATGCTACCCGTGGGGTTCACACCCTGGAGGTCGCTTGCATCCGCAATGCGCAGCTCCGGCTGATCTCCAGGATTATTGATTGGGTCGAAGGTGATGGTGTAAACGTAGCCGCTGGTACCGTCGCCTGAGACATCAACCTGCTTCGGTGGCGCCAGGCCCGGCAGGCTCCCCAGTGCGGCCTCAATGGTTTCGGAGGAGTCTCCAAGGTTGATTTTCACAGATGCGCAGCTGCTGCCAAAGGCCACCTTGAAGGAGCCCTTCAGGCGCGGGCTAGCGCTACGTGACTCCATTGTTAGTAATACGCCCGGGGGTGTCGTACTTGAAGGCCCGACCACCAGTGCCGGTACGTTGTCCAACCACGAGTAGGTGAAGGTGATGTTCCAGATGCGTGCAAAATAGGCACCTTCACGTGCATTCGTCACGTTGACCGAATAGTAATTGGAGTTGTAACCAGTCACATTTTGGATTGCAGCAACCATCGCTGTGGAGTTGGCAGTTGCTGACACCCGGGATGTAGTAGCGTTGCCGTAAAGCCCCAACAGGAAGTCGCCTGTAGGAACGACCGCAGGGACCGCCTGGGCCCGTGAGACATTAACCGTAAAGCCAGTACCAGCACTCTGTAGTGCCTGAGGCGCAGGAGGAGGATACATAGATGTGACGTTGATAGCAGCGCTGCTATTAGAAGGGCATGTGTTATCCATGGGCGGCGGCGGCGGGGGAAGGAGGACCAATCTCGCTGCAGTCACATTGAAGCTTCCCATGGATCCATCCAAAGCAGCCATCTGCAGCGTCAGCGTGCCATAAGCGCGGGTCTTGCGGATGCCAAACAAGGTGTCGTTCTTGGTGAAGTTTCCACCGAGGGAGGCTTCCACCAGGTCATCCATTGCACCGGTGGTGGCACCCAAGGGAAGGACAATATCCCAGCCGCCGTTGATCTGCACATACAGTCCGATCTGCGGGTCATCCAGGGCAGTGTCATTCAGGGCGCTGATGGTGATGTTGAAGGCAGTCACGGCGGCGCCATCACCATACAGATACTTGATGGCAACTGAGCGAGGAAAAAAGGTCGCAGAGATAGAGATCTTCTGAATTTCTGGTAATGAGTTCAGCCGCGGCTCTGGGACTGGCATGCGCACGGCCAGCTGCGTAAAACCGACAGAGGCGCCGTTGCAGTGGTTCATCTCCAGAAGTATACTCTGGCCTGCGTTCAGGGTGACCTCCAGTGACCGCTGCGACGGGCTTTGGAAGAAGTTGTCAATATACGTCCAGGACTGAAGGTTGATGAGTGTGGTCGATACCAATGCGCCATTGGACTGCAAGGGGCAACCCACAGGAGCAACAGCGGTACACACGGGATGAGAAGACGAAACAGTAATAGGCCTCCGCAGAAGGCGGACCACACAAATAAAGGGCGTGAAGAAACGTTCGGGCAGATCATTCGAACTACTGGCGGTAGCACCATAGGGCTTAGGTTGAAAAAGGGCAGGAGAGCTTTAAGGCAGGCCTTTCGGCAGTCTTGAGCCTGAAGCTGACGAAGGAACGCTTAGACTTGCGGAGGATGGATACGTCACTGTGATTTGTGTACCGCCGTACAGCCGTCATGATCACGCACAAGAACATGGCTGCTAACAAGCAGCGTATTAGGGTCCTCTTCCGTGTGCCGTATGTGGGGCGTGTGCTCTTCAATGACATACCTGTTTCCATGTCCCATTCAGTTGGGCATAGTCATCTGCGGACATGTAGAAACTGCGAGATGGGGGAAAGGCGGGCGTGATTGAGAACGGACATGTTTCCCGTTCCCGTGCAGCGCGATGCTTTCATGCAATCCCATGCAGGCCCTTGCAGTAGAACACATAGGTATCCTACAATTCATGGCGGGGCATACACCCGTCGGTAAGGTTTTTTTATCGTCTATAGACAGGGTCATCGTATTATAGATAGGACCAAGAAATAAATCGTGTATAGATCATGGTACAGATTGGTCTACAGATCGTGCCATGGTAATAGATAGGCCTGGAATAGATGGTCTATGGGCACTCCTCAAATTTACAGACGCCATGCACCGCTCTGCTCGGCGGCGTGCACGACAGATTAAGCAGTACAACGAAGCTACGAAGCTCAAGTACTCTTACCTGTAGTTCCCGGCGCGGGGAGCTGTAAAAAACGCTTTGCTGCGGCTGCAGTAGTACGGCGTGGAATATTCGTTTCCTTCCCAGGAACCCGTCAGCACGGCACGGTAAGAGCCATTCAAAGGCTGCACCTTGATGGTGTTGTTCAGCTGCCAAAGATTTCCATATGACAGCCGCGAGATATTATAAAACTCGTACTCGATGCCACGCATTGCAGGGTACAACCCGCCAATAGGGGATACCGTGGCCGCAGGCTTAGGGCCGGTCACACAGAAGAGCGTGTCGTAAGTGCTGTTCACGATGTCACAAGGCACACCGGCAATAGAGATGGCAATCGTATCATTCATGCCCAGCCTCAAGTCGGGAAACCCACGTCCGGTGACTTTGACCAAGGTGCCACCCGCATTCGATCCGGTCGCGGGCGACACACCTGTAACCTCTGGGTATAGCTGAAACTGGTAAGGCACGCTGTCGACATTGTACAGGAACGACGAAGGGAGGGCAGTCGGTGCACCACCACGCATGCTGGCCTCAAAGTGGATGGTCGCATTCAAACTGGCGGCCTTGCCGAGGGCGGGCTGCGGTCATGCATGGGGCGATCCACAAACACGATACAGGATTTGAGTTGGGTCAACATCTGGATGGTATTGTGCAAGACCATATCCGCCCCCTCACCCCAGATCTCCATGTCCCCGTATGCGTACGCTAGTTGCACTCCACAAGAAGTAATTCATGACCACCGATTGACTCCCCATGTGTCACCTGAGTGTTGTTGCTGTTCTGCGCTGGCATGGTGCACCCGATACGGTACAGGTACGGGCCAAGCCGCGGATTGGTGGTCATGATGATGGGCGAGTCTGGGTCGGCGGGGTCCTGCCTGCAAAGGTAATCGCCGAAAAGAATGCTGCCGACACAATTCATGTCACCCCAGTTTGACTCCACACAATCGCGATACATCATGTACGCGGTCCTGTCGCCGTATATGAACACCTCCGTTCCCGGTGGCCCCGCACGCGGCAAGACTGCCTTGAGAGCTGGGGGCACACGTCAGCACATCGCATGATTAGAAGGATCCCGGCGGATAGCTTAGGGTAACGAAGGAGGACGCGCGGTGAGCGCGAGTACAACGGCAAGGCAGCCATGCATAGGTAATCATGGCGACAAAATTGCATGCTGACATGTCCAGGAACATGACAAGGCGAGAGCCAACCATGGCCCTGTGCATGCATGTCCATCGTCTAAGCTCAGTGCTAGCAAAGAAGTTGGAAAGAGCCACGAATACTCACGCACACATGGTATGTATGTTGTTACAGGGTGGTATAGCTTCAGCAGCGGCCCCCTTTCCCGAGGCAGTTCCCTGCTCTCCCCTGCTAGAGGGGCACCCTAATCCGTTCATCCCATCCGACTTCAGGGTATGCATGCCCAGGAACATCAACACTGCTAGACCCCGCTCTGGCCCTCTGCGTGCGTGTTCATAATAACCCAACCAAAACGAAAAACATTGACTTCATACACATACGACTGTATCCTACTTGGTGTAATATCGTTTGTGTATGTGAATCCTCCATACATGGCGGGTTCATAGTCGCCAACTGAAACATAAACCAGGTAGGTACCGGCTGAGCCCGGGCTGGTTTCGCAGGTGAGCTGCAAGAATGTGCGGCGCAATGTGGCATGTTAGCATACCGCTGTTGCGTTTGGATTATTGTGCACCATCGTAAGGATGTTATGCAAGCGCTTACCACTTCATTGCTCGAGTAGTGGGAGATTATGTTGCAGGGATACGGGCCTATATAAACACTCCTGCTGGTGGTATACATGTCACCAAAATTGTTGCCATATATCACCAGCCTGCGGAGGGAGGCCATGCAATGCTGGTTAGTTATTTTGCCCATGAAGTCAACTGGAAGGCCAGCCCCGCCCACCTGGCGCCTCCGGCCAGACTGCCAATTGCGGGGTCGATACGGCTGATGACAGGCTGGCCAACAGCAACTTGGAGCAAGCTTGCTATGCATAATAATATCGCTAAGCCGAGGGCAAACATGGTCAAGTTTCTGAAGATGCTAATGCATCTATCCCAAGGCTGGAAAGAGGAAAATGGCTAAGGATATCAATTAGAAATATTTGTTGGACCTGCCACTCCATGTGCCATAGGCATCTAAATGAAACCCTGTACGGCACGCAGCAGGATGCGGCCTCCGGATAGCTTGCTAGTCAAGTATGGTCCTCCGACATTAACAAGGCAGGCCATAAGAAATGTAGCTGCAAATCACGGTTACAACAAGGTAGAATACTTGACACTGCTGCTGTTGCTGGAGGCTCGGAGTATTACCGCACATGCTGCTGCATATATTATTATACTTAGGGCCTGGGAAAATTAAATCCCAACCTATGCTTAATTTTTATTTAAATTAGTTCAGGCCCAGCTATATAGTCATGATGATATGTTCCCCATAGAGCTGTTACTGCATTACTTCTTCTATTCCTGCACTACGTATATACCTGCCTCGCAGGTGGCAGCGTTCTCAGCAGCAGGCTGAGGTTTGCAGCAGGCGTTTTACATCAACGCTGTCATAAATCCCAGTTCGCAGTGAAACTTGTAACATGGTTTATATTTGACTCCAAATCATGACTTGGCGACCTAGCGGACCCTCGGGAGGTTACTTTCAATAGTGGTTGTATGCGTCCACGTGCGTGAGGGCCCTCACGGATATCAGAGGGTTTTATCATCTTAGATTTGAAAATATGATTTGCTCTGAAAGAACAGATTATTACACCTTGGGCGCTCTGGCACCAGCCTCTACGAACCGCCATAACTAACATGCAAACGTCTTCCAAACGCTAGTCGTATCACCCAAAATCAAATAGTTAGAAAAAGTCAACCCTGAGATTTAATGATGAAGCTCAAATGTTATGTAATGTTTTGTTACAAGCTCGTAAGGCCCGGACGAGCCTGGACCGCGAGCTCTAGCGTAGTCAAGAAGAAGGAAAGATCAATAAATGTAAATAATAATGAGGGGTTATGAACCCCATCTGCGAGAGAAAACAGTAAGTAGGTTAAGCGACCTCAGGCTTACTGCTCGGCTATCAGGGTGCGTCGCCGCATCCAGATGTTGCGTACGACCTGCACAAGTCCACGCTGATCATCAATATCCATAACTTACTTCATATTAGGCTAGTAAATTTAATTCAGGAGAAATAGAAAGGCTAGTACGGTTTAATCGTACGTACCCTGTCAGTGTTATCAGCTAGGACCTAGCAAGTACAGCATCTTCATTTACACTTTATGAAATAACCTGTGCTTAGAAATTTGCAGAAGACTTAATCTTTGGGTAAAAGGGTACAGAGCAGGGGAATGTCGTATTGCTTGCCGACCTTTAGGAATTGGTGAACGCAATTCCGGAGTTCCAAATAACGCTGCCAGCAATCCTCTAATTTTCACAACTGGTGACAAGCCATTGCCAACTTTGGTAACAGCCAGCGACCTGCCTTCCGTACCTTAGCAAACCGTAGCCGCGGCAGATAGACTACGCCAGCCACAAAACGTTCCTCGACTTTGTCCGGAACGACCCGCTTACCAAGGTGTCTTTAACTATTTATCTATAAAATGAAATATGCTAGGGAAGCTTTTGGGGTATCGCACCCTTTGCAGGTATCCAGGGGGGGCGGGGAACCCCGTCAATTTGCACCGACTAAACACAAGCGAGCGCCATGACCCAACACAATCCCTACAAGGACAATGCCCTGTCCGGTTGCTCCCTCACCCGCCTCGTGCCGAGCTCATGGCCGGACCCGCCACTCCCAACGCTGCATGGATCCCTCCGCCGGGGCCCCCACACCGACCGGCCGTGAACACCCCCCTTCTTCCCTCCTCTTCCTCGCTGACCTCGGTCCTACCTTCACCAGTATGATTACCAGAAAATAAACTCCAAAATTCTTGTCAGGATCGCTCGGATACCTGGCCCCCTACAACGTTTCCAAGTTCTTCCGTCCCTCTACCTCCGCCCCTCCTTCCTCCTTCCTGTTTCCTCCTTCCATCCTCCTTCTTCCCTACAATTCATCACTGCCGCCTCATTTTTCGGGGATAAAATCTTACTGGATTGTAACCCGGACGCTGCAATATTGGCCAAAATTATATGGAATGCTCAACTCGGAGTTGATCAACCGCAAGCTAATAAGGGTCCCCCAAAAGAAGATTGAAGGAATCAATTATCCAACAGAAAACATTTTGATGATAATATTTTTCGGCCAAGAAAGCTAGGCTTTAGGTTTCGGGCCCGGATTAGGTTGTATGTGATGAAAATCACACTGCATATGTATGGTTAGCCCACTGCATCGCCATACAAATGTTGGCGCTTACTGCTGCCTGGGATTACACCTCTGATACAGCAGGGATGGCATCCCATTCGTGAATCATCAATTAGGTATAACAGGAACTACGAGAATCGAGACACAGCTAGGGTTTCCTAATCCGGGATAGATAGCACACGTTATTATAACGTTTAGTAGCTTAGTGGAACTTGACAAGTCGGGTGTCGGCTTCCTCGAAGCCGGAAAAAGGGCGGGGGCCCCCTGCATCCGTACAGGCCGGTAGCTAGGGTAGTGTCAACATGGTGGGAGCTGTGCTTGTTGCAGCAGTGCTGATGCTGTGGGAGCTATGCTTCCGCCCCACAGCCGCGAGCTTCATCGCGACACACGGCAACTCTTCGGAGGCCCAGAGCATTTGCCCAAGTAATTGTACAAACGAGCAGCTTGCGTAGTTCGTAGAGGAATGAAAGCAAATTTGTCGGCCTGCTGGTGGCATGTCGGAATGCCCGTGCGGACAAATGGTAACGCAAGCTGGGTGTTTGAGCTATCAAGCGCCGCCATCTCAGAATTCAATTAAAAATACGCGGCACCTTTTGAGATGAAATTTAGCCCGAGAGGCCTTGATGTGACTTTGACCTCGGTCAATGGAGGCAGCCAAACTTATTTGTGCTCATACGATTTTGGTTGGCTACAGGCGAGATGCCTTGCAATAGAGGATTTATTATAGTACCAATAACGCGTCTCAGCCGGGCGAGATATTATGTTTGGTACACACACACACACACACACACACACACACACACACACACACACACACACACACACACACACACACACACACACACACACACACACACACACACACACACACACACACACACACACACACACACACACACACACACACACGCACACACACACACGCACGGCCCCGCCCCAAAGGATTATTAGTTGTTCCGGCAAGTGCAAACGAGCAAGTACGGTTATGCATGGTTGGCTGGTCTGCGATTTCATATGGTCGCACATGGCTCGTAAAAGGTGACTCAGCTGTTCATAGGGAGGCTTCGGCTACGTAGGGAGGCGGAATCACATACAATTAACTGTACTTGTACCATGGGCCGGCATCTGTAATTAGCTTATCAATTCGCTAATCAATTTCATGACAGCAGCGATTTGGGCAAAGACAGCAGAACAGATATGGAGAGTGGCGCATTGATGGTCGCAACGTATGAAACTCTTTTAGTAATGCCGCAGACAACATCATAGATATAGTACTGCACGCCAGCATGCGCACAGCCACAGGCGTAGCACTCTTTACTGCCATGTTAGGAGGAATGTGAGGAATGTGCGTGAAGCCCAACACGTCAATTGTTTAGTGCCGCGGCAGCATTTCAGTGGCGGCATACATGGATGTTTTTCACTGGGCTCCACTTAGTGGAGCCTGGGTAAGTCATAACCGGACCACTTGGTGGAAACTGCTAAGGGGCTTCCATTGTGAGCGTAATTGTTGATCAAAGCAGTGCGAGCCCAGCAACACTAGTCAGCAGCGCTAGCCCAGCAGCGCTAGCCCGCAGGCCGGCCGGCAGTGCTAGCCCAGCAGATCAAGGCAGCCATTCTGATCACCATCCACTTAGCCCATACCCAGCTGACCGTTTACCCAACTGACCGTTTACCCAACTGACCGGTTAACGTGTCTTTCACGATCGTTACTCGGTCGGTTCGGTTAGCGAACCCCGGTAGTGTTCAAAACTGTCGGTAACCGAAGTGTTTAAGCCATAGGCCCGGCAGTGTGTTGGGAAGTGTCCTTAGGTACACTCAGGCTTGACACTTCGGTAGTTTGATTAGTTGCCGTTATCCCAATACGACATCGAATCAGGATTGGCTACGGTATGCTTATATACTGCTTGCGTATCCATTCTCTCTCTCTCCTTGTGTAACGATATGAGCGAGTGATGTGTTCACTGAAGGACTCTTATCTCTAACAGGTTATGAGCCCCGCGCTTTAGCGTGCGGTCATCCGTTTGCCCGGTGGTGCCTTTTTCTGCTGTGTGCGGACTTAGCTGTAGGCAAGGATGAAAATAGATAAGGAGGATTTTTATTTCTCCATTAGCACCTTTCACCTCTTGAAGGAGCACGTCATCGGCGTCCTTCAACGTAAAGGACTAGCGAACGCGATCAGCCCCGTGCAGGCTACGCGGGATGTAGTGACAGACGAGCAAGACCAGCGAGCTTTGGGCGTTATCAAGGAATCATCC